TTTAATCAAGTGATTAGTCAAGTGAATAGAAGCAGGTTCTATTTACTTGAGCAAGTGGCTTCCCCCACTCTCGTTTATTTTACTGAGTTTAGCGGCTGGACGCGTGTAGACAGGATTTGTATTTAGTGATTAGTGAAGTACATTAGTAGGGTTTGAATTTGAATATTTTGAGTATTGTGTTGCACCTTTTGTCATCCGCATACAATTTTGATATTCTTCTGGATCTTCCTTAGCCAGTTCAACCAATAATGTGGAAGATGCACCATGTGATTCTCCACGACACGAGATATCCATGGTCGAACCCAATTCAATTTCTTTCAATAAAATTTCTGATAATTCTCCACAAACACTCAAAATGCATTTTTATATTTCTTTTCCTACGACCACATACGAAAATGACAAAATTCGCACTAGCTGGTTCTTTAGAGAGCGCTAAATATCACACACGCGCTGAAAGTACTTTCAATACGCAGGCTAATAGTATATTACATTACGAGTGTAGAAAGTGACAAATTTCACACGAGTGTTTTTTCGCGCGAGGCGGTAGCCGAGTGCGAAAATCACACGAGTGCATGAAAGACGCTTTTTCACCAGTGATGTACACCATTTTTCCTACGACCAGAATCCGATTTACACCAATTGTCTCTCATTTTATTTCTCTTCATTTTCAATACACGTGCTGAAAGTACTTTCAATCCACGTATTGAAAGTAAATTGTGATGACAATCACAAATAATGTCAACAGTATTTTCCACACGTGTGCTGAAAGTACTTTTATCAAGCGTATTGAAAGTACTTTCAGCACGTGTGTGATATTTCACGTTTTCCAAAGAACCAGCTAGTGAGGATTTTGTCATTTTCGCATGTGGTCGTAGGAAAAAGTACTTTCAGTACACGTGTGAAAAATACTGTTGACATTATTTGTGATTGACATGACAATTTACTTTCAATACATGGATTGAAAGTACTTTCAGCACGTGTGTTGAAAATGGAAAGGAATAAAATAAAAGAAAATTGATGTAAATCGGTTTCCGGTCGTAGGAAAAATGGTGTACATCACTTGTGAGAAAGCGTCTTCCATACACTCGTGTTATTTTCGCACTCGGTTACCGCCTCGCGCGAAAAAACGCTCGTGTGAAATTTGTCACTTTCAACACTCGTAATGTAATATACTATTTCGAACAACTGTACTTGCTGCCATTTCACCTCAATTTGCACTAATCACTAAATTCGACTTAAAATCAGTAAAATGCATGTAGACACTCACTTGCACGAAAACAATAGTTATTTACCTAACAAGTGAGGAAAGTGGTACTTTTCCGCACGAGACGGTAGTTGCACGAACGACGCGGAGCGGAGTTCGGGCAAGCCGTCGAGGGTGGAAAAGACATTTTCCGCAAGAGTTAGGTAGGTACAATATTTTTCCTACGAGTGTTTTTGTCCATCTTATTTATCAAAAAAAATGTTTCCAATACGCAAAGATTTTATAATGATGGTACAAAAGAGCACATAATATAAAATAATATGATAATATATAACAAATCATTTATTTGATCCTATAAATATCTTCATTTTTAGAAATAAAATAATCGTGCGGAAAAGTAACTTTTCAGCACTAGTGCGGAAAAGTGACTTTTCCGCACGATTTTTTTATACACAAAAAAATAATGGAACCGGATTTTTTTATCATGATCCTTGGGCCTATATCTAAATTGGCCAAAAAAATTGTTAGGATCCCCCACCCTCGCGGGGCTATGCCACCTAAAATAGGGGCCCTGCGGGGCTGTGCCCCCAAAGCAGGGGCTCCCGCGGGGCTCCGCCCCTCAAATAAGGGGCTTCGCCCTCCAAAAAGGGCCCAGGGCTCCGCCGCCCCCAAAAGGCCCCCCAGGGCTCCGCACCCCAAAAGGGCTCCCAGGGTTTCCGCCCCCAAAAAGGGGCCACTGCGGGACTGTGCCCCTCAAAAATGGGGCCCCCACCGGACTGTGCCCCCAAATAGGGGCCCCCGAAGTTTAATATGTATGGGTACACCTTGTAAAATCGTGCGGAAAAGTAACTTTCCGAACGCTCGTAGGAAAAGATAATTTAGCTACTGGCGTTAGTACTTACTCAAGCTACTTGCACCGTGTAAATGAGGCTTAAAGAGATACCTACCTACAAGGGTCAGCTAAATTATTCCTGTGGGTTAAAGTGGAGCAAAGTTACACAATTTCTTGCTTACCAAAATGCCGTTTCGAAAACTGAATAAAAAATCCGGAGCCGTATTTAAAAAAATAAGTTGATGATGGTCGCCCAAAATCGAAACGTTGGATTTCAAATTTGATAATGCCAAATGGTAGAAAAAAAAAAGTGACAACGATAAAGTTTCATTTAGTGTGAAGTAGGTATCTCTTCAAATAAGCTCAGGAAAAAATAAGAACGATTTTGCAACATTTCGTTTTTTACACCCTGTATATGCGTTTGGCAGCGTCAGCTTCAGTAATAATCAAGGATATTACACAGCACTACAGGATTGCTCATCGATTTTGTTTTGCGGGTTTGCGCAGAATCCTGACGGTAATATTACGGTTTCCTGCTAGGTTGGAACAAAGCTTATACGGTATCCGCCAAAATACATAGTACCGAAATCTAGAGCTCTGAGCAATTGCGCACGCGAGTTCCATTTATCGTATTTCACCTACTTGTCATTAGTTGTTTTTTTGACATGACGTTAAAGTTAAAATCTTCGTCAATATGACTCTTTCAACTCGAGAAAAAGTTTTCTTAATAGACCCCTATTTCCGGTCATACGGAATTGGAAGGAATAACAGCCGCAGCAAGGGCGGTTTAAAGGGGGGGGGGGGGGTAGAGACAAAGACCCCCAGACAAAGATTTTTTTTACATACATTTATCAGTTACAACAAAATTTCAACAAAAGACAAGTTCTACAAAGTACCTAAAGCATTAAAGGCATCGTTTAAATATGACAGGCTCACCCACAGTACCGACGTAGGTACCTTCTTTTATACAGTGAGATAAAGGGTATTCCATTTGTTGGTTTTTGTTGACACATGCCAACTGCGATTTTTTGAAAAAATATTAAATATTTCAAAAACGGTTAAGTTTTGGTATAGGTGATTCCTAACAAAAAGTATGTAGGATTTTTACAACGATCCATTAATGTACTGAAATATAGGGTGTTCCATTTAAAGATAACAAAGTTCTTTCGCATACACCATTTACGGATTATCCCTCGGAGGACCCTGAGTATTTGAAAATATTTTTAACTAATGCACCTTAGAGAATCAAACAACTTTGTAATTTAATTTTTTTTTTCTTGCATCACTCTGTAAGGAGATATCGTCCGATATCGCACTAAGTGGACACCCTGTATACCTAACTATTTTGACGGCATTGGGATACAGTTGGGCGTGTTTTTTGAACGACTTTCGGGTGCAAATTTGAGCGTGGCACCCCGGTACGTTGCGACACTTGATAATTTTCTTTTCATCCATTACCCCTCCCAGAAAATCATGTATGGACCGCCACTGAGCCGCAGTTTGAAACAAGCTCAGAAAAATAGCCAAAACCACTCTTTATAAGTATGTTTGATGATTTGCAGAATCCTTTTGAAGCTTGTTTGCATTGCTATGGTGCACATTTTGAACATATGCATTATAAAAATCCATAAATAAAGTCTGTTTTTTTTTTAAAGATAATTCCCCAAGTCAAAAATTTAGTAACTAAGTTGGCAAAACAAGCCTTTCCTTCATAAAAAATTGGAAAGTATTGACAATTTTACATTGTATTGCCAACACAATGTCATTTTGACTTTTATCTTTAAAAAAAAACAGGTTTTAGATATTATTTCTATGTTCGGTACTGTTTATTTTGGCGGGTACCTACATGTTACGTTTCTTTCGAGTTTTCTTTATTTAAATTCCTCTCACAAAGCATGCCGCCCACAATAGCTCTACATTTGTATCAAGGCAAAACGCTGAATAGATTTAATTAATAAAATAATTTTGTAAGTAATCAAACTCCGTCTTTTGTGAGTTATTACAACTAGGGTGAACACGTGAACAGCTATTGTATATGTATACAACTACAGTGATTGATAAATAAGGATGAGGTTATTCTAAATGGGTATTCCAAATACTACAGGTGATAATCGTCTTGTCTCATACCTCTTTCTTTATTTATTATTCATTTGTTATTTGTTTTAACTTTATTTTTGTTGTATCTTGAATATTTTTGATTATGTTTATATACCTATCGCTGATCTATTCGTGCATTTCTCATAGATAGCCCTTTTTATAGTGCTGTAGCTCTTTGCTCTTTCTATAGCCTGCGCTTGTTCTTCAGTTGGTAATCATCGAATTTCCTTTCTAGGCGGTTGGTGATTATTCTCATAAACAGTTTGTATATCTGAGACAGAGGCTTATGGGTCTATACTTTTCAAAATTGGATGGGTTCCTTTTTTTGTATGTCAGAACGACAATGGCATTATCTCGAGTCTTGTGGTATTTTTCGCTCTGAAAAGTGTTTTCAGTTGTTTTACAAGGTATTCTCCTTCAGTATTTCTGGTGGCATATCGTCCATTCTTCTTCTGGATGTTTCGTTTTCTTGTTTGTTATTTTCGTTGTTATTTTTTGCGTTGTATGGTTCCTTATAGAAATTTTCCGCCACACGCAATATTCCATCTCGCAACATATTGATGAGGCTCTGGTATTGGTATGTTTAGGCTAAGCAAAAATTTTAAACACTTTTACAAAATTTCTTTGAAAAAATATGTAACTACCTATCGTATCTTTCCAAATTTTTGGAAACGTTCTGGATGGATTAGAACCATTTCTGTATCGCTTTTTTTCAAAAAGAGTTCAACTGAAAATTTGAATGAATCATTTCAACAGGCTCTAGGATCATATTTATCAGTAATGCACCTGTGAAGTCGGGAGCTTTTCCAATCGCGCCATTGGTTGGTTGCTATAGATAAGTTAAATACAAACATGAAAACTTGTTCTTGAACTCTATGCTCCATATACTAATTCCTAGTTATAAATGTGAGAGTTAAATGTTATCTATTTCCAATATCAGTTCAATTAAATATGTATGACTAATGGACGACAGTCGATCTATTCATTTGGTAGGTATCTACTACCTTATAAAAAGTGCATTTGTGTAAGTATTTTTGAGGTAAGAAATAATTTAAAAAGATTCTTGTTATTTTTTTAAATTTTCCAGACAAAATGAGTATTGAAGATGCCCCAACAAAGCCTCAATCTCAAGATAGATCAAATCTGGTAGCTTACTGGAGCGTTCCATTGCTAGATGGAGCTCATACAGTTGAATTTGAACATGGTACCACCACTGGCAAAAGAGTATTAAGATTAGATGGAAAGGTAAAGTAAAATATCTATGAGTTTATCATTTTAAAATTTCCTTTTCAGGAAGTTCTTCGTAAAGATTGGATGTTTAAACTAGTAGGTGATATACAATTCACACTTGGAGCTCAACAGGCCAAATGTGAACTCAGAGTGGATCCAAAATCACCATTTTCATTTCGCTACTCTTTAATAGTAGATGGTAAGCCAGCGGAAAAGTTTACGGAAAAACTACTCGAAGCTATCAAATCCTGGAGTGTTGTGGATAACGGCAAACGATATGGAGTTGTATTTGGTAAGATGAATGGAATAATTGTTGATCAAAGATCTACATAGTTGCTGTATCTTGCAGCCAAACACACACTAGAAATATGGGTTAATGGACAAACAGTGGATGTAGATAGAGATTTTGTTGAAGGTGGTTCTGAGATGAAATTCAAATTGGATGATTTCGAGGCAACAATCCGTTCACAAACGAATTCAGCCAATAAAGAAATTGTTTATAATCTTTTTGTTGGCAATCACCTGATATTAGATGATAATAATAATTATAATAATGTTCTTTAGTTTATAGGAAATGGTTTTTGTTCAGGTTTAATAAAAGAGAAATTACAAATATATTTCATTGTCTCGAGTATAAAAGTATAGAAATTTTGCAATGAATTAAGTTTAAAACACTGGGTTAGTATAGTAGAAGCAAATATATTTGAAAACATATTCCTAACAATGTTATCATAACAATATAAGTAGGTACCTAAATATTCAATACAAAAGTATAAAATATAACAATTTAACTTCCAGTAAATAATATCAAATTGATAAAACCAAAACCATTGATTCAGTATTCATCACATAAAATTGCACGTTAAAATAAACCTGCTTGTTCTGATAGAAAAGGAACTTTAAATTGCAGTCGCTGCTTAGACTATGGGTAAGTATGTATAGGTGAGCACTTAAAATTAAATTTTGCACCAGAAAAAGCTTTCCGCATGTTTGAGATTCACTACTTTCCATGCCTGAAATAATACCCTCCACAAATGCTACAATTTACTCTTCTAGTTTCAAATCCTGAACAATGATGGTTCCTTTTTTCCTCTTTTTCCTTTTTCTCTTCCTTCTCAAATATAAGCCTGGCAACCCAAGCAGTAACGTATTCGGCAATTTCAGTCAATACTGTTTTGGTAAGATTCTTGCCCGAAAAGCTGTTTGTAACAGCAAATTGAAAAAATTGCACTATACGTTTTACATACGAAAGATTGATCTTATCAAATATCGGATCTTTATATGTTACATCTCCTGTCTGTTGATACTTCTGATATTTTTGTTCGCATTCGTCAACTTGCCTGCTGAAGTATGAAATAGCCAACTGTAAAAATTCGAAAAATTGAGATTGTTTTGGCAAGATTTGATTGATTTCTTCTGCAAATGAACTAGATACTTTGGTGATAATATATTCTATTGCTTGATGAATGGAATTAATTACTTTAGTTTTGATGTCACCACTGCAAAAATTTAAAATTTTTGATGTCAATATTAATAATTCTGTCTCATTAATACTGGAACTGTCAATGGTCAAAAGAGTCAATAAACTATCAATAGCACTTTTGAGTAAATTATTATTGTTGGTTGGATCTGATACGGGAGAAGGTCCTAAATTTACTGATGATTTGTCTTGGGCCAAGTTGTATAGAAAAGCTTCCGTTTGTCCCTTGTAACAACCAATAAATTCCTTCATATCCACAGGAATGCCTCCCAATGTAATTTTCCCATCTTGAGCTGAAAATTTAATACCAGCTTCGTTCATTGACTTATTGTTTTTCGTTAGGGCTTCAAAAACTGCGTCTTTGTTTGGTATATTTCTTATGGCTGATATTACTTCGGCTTTGCCCCTGGCTTCATCACCTTGTGACACAATAGTGTCTTGAATGAGTTTGTTGAACATTTTTCTAGAAAATAAATATCTATTAGTTTCAAATTGATGGCTTCTGTGGAATACTTTCTAAATATATAGGAAAGTGGTTTCTGCAAAAAAAAACACTAGTACGGTAATATGACGTCATGATGATTGTTTTGATGAAATTGTTAAGTATACAATATACAACAATTGAAGAGTCAAAACTCAGGAAACTCCTACATTATTTATAGGTTTTACATAAATAAATAAAATAATTGATAGTTTTTACCTGTATCTATTGCTACTCAAAGAATCCTGATAATCTTTCAACACTCTAGCTTGAGTTTCCTCTATGATGGTTTGAGCTCCTCTAAAACTGAATACTGCATGTCCAAAGAATAGTATTGAAGAGCTGAGTTGTAATATGGTCAGTGCTGATGGAGTTTGATTTTTATTGTACCATTGATCGAAAACATCATATCCTGAATTTACAACACTTGCGCCTCCCACACCAAGATTTAATATACCCATTGTATTGAACGAATAAATTGCACCCTAGAAGTTATTTTCATTAATGGCACATAAATCTATTTAAATGAGTTTGCATACTTGTCCAATATTAACCCCTCTAGCGACCAATTGTGTGAATGCCACATTAGCTCCAGCTCCTACAAATCCTAAAGAAGCAGCCACAATGTTTATGTAGGCTCCTCTAGCTTCCGAGTTCTTGAAACTCATAGTCACTTTATGCGTACTCCTATCGCACAATGTGTAAATGCTTCTTCCGATAGCCCATGATCCTGCTCCAGCTCCAACGACTCCTGCAGCTATTAAAACAGGTGGAGCAACTGCTAAACCAGCGGCAGTTAAAAAAACACAACCTGAAGCCAAGCCTGCTAGACTAGTTACTATATCACCTACTTGAAGAAGTTTTACGTCCAAATGACACGGAGGCGATAAGTGTTGTTCGAGGAGAACTGTGTTGTTTATAACTTCATACCTAAAGTAAAAATACTTTATGGAAAAGTGCTGCAAGACTGTAAAAATCGAAAATTTATTCTTGGAACCCTCGGTAAAACCCGAGGTAAAACCCTTTCGATGGCTTTCAGAAAACAAAATTGTACGTAGAAAAGATTCATTATTATTATTATTATAAGTATTAGGACAAGAAAGATGAGGCAAAAATAATTTAATCTTAGTATCTTTTTACTGGTTAAGCGATTAGTTTCGAGATACCTACTTCTGTAGCATGTCATATTATGAAGCTGCAAAATGATTAGACATAAATTATAGTGGCTACATCAAGGAAGTGGATAAAGAGAATAAACAAAATATGTGTATTGTCCGTCGATTTTAATCTGATACTCGGACGGAATGTGAGCTGATGGCTCCCTACATTAGAATGCCAATGGTTACCTGACGTCACACCTGTTTTTCCAATATGAAATACCCCCTCGCTCCTCATACGGAAAGTGTCAGTTAAAAATCGACGAACAATAGGTACTTAGAAAAATCAACAACTATAACCTCAAGTACAAAGAAATGATTGGGTCAATTATGGATGCAATTCATGATTTTCTGCTCTAAATCGTGAATGACTTCCTCACGCTCACAGCCCGCCAGAAGAGAGGTAAAAGTTATCCTAGTAACTAAATTTAATGAAAACCAATCAAGTTCATTAACTAGCTACCTTCCATTTCGTGGAACAACCATTTCACATTTCGGATATTTATTTTTTGTCAAATAACTGTTCCAATTTTTATAGACTCTTCCATTATCATCTATGAAAATTCTGCATGGATTTTGGCTGCCTCTGCATTTTCTTAAAACAAAAACTGGCACTGGATTCATATCTGTTTGTGGATTATAATCAGGATATTTTTTAGATCTCCTAATTTTTTCTTGTGGAAGTGATTCCAAGCAATTATAGATAAATGATATTTCCATACGATCTTTGTGTTCAGCTATGGCACCTGAAAACAAAAAATATTTTAGAAATTATTTTAAGCTGCAAATATTATGAACGTACTACTTTGGGTTTGAATGGCCTTAAATAATGTATCAATATGAATCTTGGTCTTTTTATCATATCCACTAGTCTCTTGTGGTGGTCCCTTAAGTGCAAACCCGATTTTATCCTTCAAATAATCATGCTGATCGAATTCAAAGCTGTCATAATCTCTATCTCCCAGCATATTCGCCCAAATACTGTGCATTTGCTGTGACCCCAAGTCGTTTTGGTCACTTTTTTGATGTGTTATTTCAGCCAATTCCTTTTCAGTTTCAAGCTGCTTGATAAAAGCTACCTCAGTTTCCTTTAAGCTCTTGATTGAGTCTGTCAAAGTTATTTTACCACGTAAGCATAAGAACACACTAATGGTACTATCAACTGGCATTATGCAAAGTGCGACAGCCACTTTATTGAGTACAAGATCTGATAAAATGGCCAAATTAGCATGGCGACTTAATGTAGTCACTAACGCATCATGGTAATCAGGATTTTCGACATCCCAACCCAAAACTAGGAAGTTTCTGCTTAAGATTTGTGCCAGTTCTCCAGATTGTAAGTTTTTCGAGAACATGTTGGAGAAGGGAAGGTCCGAGTTGTGGAAATAGAGCAAAAGTATTTTACGCTAAAAATAATAAGTAATGTAAGTTTATAATGTAAATAAGATACCTTATATCTAACAAAAATATGGAAATACAAATTAGTTTATCAAAAATGTGAATAGCTTACCTCGTTTAAAGTGGAGCTACAAATAAATTCAAGAGCATTATCCAATCCTTCTTCTGTAAAATTTACTGAAATGTCTTTGGGTAACTTTGTCTTGAAACTTTTTATTGCTTCAATTTCAGTGGCTAAAACAATTATTAATGTATAAATCAAATCAAAATAAGCTTTATTGTCAGGAATCTGTGCAAACTTATTGACAAAGCAATTTTATCCTAACATTATATGGCCACTTGAAACTTGAACTAAAATATAAAAGTAAGTAATCGAGAAGTAATAATTTTAGTAGCCATTACTGGAAGAACATTTGACATACACACTTCAACATTTGATGCAGTAAAGGAAGTAATACCTAATTCCAATTACAATAATATTTCAATCACAATGTATTCCTAGAAAAAATAAATACTGAAAAATAAATACTAAAAAATAAATATCTACCTAAAAATAGAACATCACTTAAAGTCATTTTTCTACAAACGTGTTAAAAATGCAATTTTTAACAACCCCCGTAGCATTAAGAATGTTACTTTATCGCACTAGTGCCATAAAGTCTTTATAGCACTAGTGTTAAAAATGAAACATCAAATTTTGATAGCGAACGTCAAAAAAAGTTTGTATTTTTAATTATTTATATTGATATTAATGGTATGTATTTTCTTGCATTTTTAGCACTTAAAAATACTACTAAAGACGACAGACTTTCAAGAAACTGACAAGACATTTCATTACCTGTAAAACAAGGGCTGGTTGTTTGGCTTTTTTGACGAATGTCGAATTCAATAATTTTATGTAAGAAAGATGCTTCCAATTTGTTATTCATTCTAAAAATCCAATTTGTTACTGGTTATTGCTTTTTATTGCCGTTTGTAGAAAAAATATTGTATGATATTTGTGTTAAAAGTATTTTTAAGGCACTTATGTGAATTGCAGAATTCGCTTCGCTCATTCTGCAAACCTTCACATGCGTGCCTTAAAAATGTACTTTTAACACTTACATCATAAATAACTATTACGATATCAAGACAAATTAATAGAATAGGTATAAACCAAGGGGTAAACTACCATCCCAGAATTGGTGCATACAATTCCTCAGAGGGGAATTTTTTTCGCATAATTCCTCAAAATTCCTGCAAATTCCTCCAGATACCCTATCACAAATTCCTCCAAATACCCCACCACGAACTTCTCCAGATACCCCAAAAAGGGAAAATTTTCTGCATGTAAAAAGCAAGGTGAGAAGATCATTTTCCCAAAATTTAAAAGTTTTCCAGTGGAAAACAGCAACATGAAAAATCTTGGAAATCAACCTACACAAACTGCAGAAAATACAGTCTCACACATTTCAAAGTTTTCCTGGAACACTAGTGAAGGGAACATTTTAAAACTTTTTGAATGTAAAGAGGAAGGTGAGAAGCTCATTTTCCCAGGATTTCAAAATGTTCCAGTGGAAAACAGCAACATAGAAAATCTTGGAAATCAACCTACAATAACTGAATTAATTGAAAATACAGTCTCACACATTTCAGAGTTTTCCTGGAAAACTAGTGAAGGGAAAATTTTGAAACTTTTTGCATGTAGAGAGGAAGGTGAGACGCTCATTTTTCCAAAATTTCAAATTTTTCCAGTCGAAAACAGCAACATGAAAAATCTTGGAAGTCAACCTACAAAAACTGAATTAGTTGGAAATATAGTCTGACATCTCACATATTTTAAAGTTTTTCTGGAAAACTAGAAAAGGTAAAATGTTGAAACTTTTGCAAGAGGAAACTTATTGCATGTAAAGAGGAAGCTGAGAAGCTCATTTTCCCAAAATTTCAAAATTTTCCAGTGGAAAACACCAACATGAAAAATCTTGGAAATCAACCTACAATAACTGAATTAATTGAAAATACAGTCTCACACATTTCAAAGTTTTCCTCGAAAACTAGTGAAGGGAACATTTTGAAATTTTTTGCATGTAAAGAGGAAACTGAGAAGCTCATTTTCCCAAAATTTCCAAATTTTCTAGTGGAAAACAGCAACATGAAAAATCTTGGAAATCAACCTACAATAACTGAATTAATTGAAAATACAGTCTCACACATTTCAGAGTTTTCCTGGAAAACTAGTGAAGGGAAAATTTTGAAACTTTTTGCATGTAGAGAGGAAGGTGAGACGCTCATTTTTCCAAAATTTCAAATTTTTCCAGTAGAAAACAGCAACATGAAAGATCTTGGAAGTCCACCTACAAAAACTGAATTAGTTGAAAATACAGTTTCATACATTTCAAAGTTTTCCTGGAAAACTAGTGAAGGGAAAATTTTGAAACTTTTTGCATGTAAAGAGGAAGGTAAAAGATCATTTTTTCAAAATTTCAAATTTTTCCAGTGAAAAACAATAAGATGAAAAATCTTGAAAATCAACCTACAAAAACTGTATTCATTCTTTTGAATTTTTTAAATTTGACAATTTCTTTCAAATTCTTCATAAATTCCTCACAAATTTCCCCAAATTCCCCATAAATTCCTCCAAATTCCCTATAAATTCCCCAAATTTTCATAAATTCGAATGAATTCCTACAAATTCCCCACAAATCTATATATATAAAAATCAAAGTTCGCGGGGTATCCGGATATGCGCTCCAAAACCACTTATCCGATTACGATGAAACTTTGATAGGTTTGTTATGGCCATCCCAAGGAAGGTTTGTGGATAGGTTACGCATCTCGGAAAAAGAAATTAATTTTGAATTAATTATTAATTTAATTGTAAACAAACTCATTCACATTACATAACAACATAACCCAACTTTTTTTGAAAGCATGAAACAACGTTGCCATATTTCATTTATTTAGGCTTGCATTCAACCGACGTAATTTTATTATTTTTTGAATTCAAAAACGGCTGGACCGATCTTGAATTAATACCACGTATCTCTATATAAGGTGAATTCGATTGACCCAGATTAGATCGATTTGGGTTCAATTTAAGTGAACTTCTTCTGATCTAGATAATTTTTTTGTTGATGAGGGTGCACTGATCCAGCTTGAATCGAACACAGTGTGGTTCACTTAAATTGAACCAGATCGATCTAATCCGGTCAATCGAATCGGCTATAGAGGAGAGTGATATAGGCTATTTTTTATCCCGAAAAAAAAAAGTTCGGTTGCGTAAAACTTTGATACACTGGAACGCCTATAAACAGCCCGGGGCGCTCTAGAGCAGCTCTGGAGTGCTTAAAATGCGTCACTGAACTCACTGGCAAGCGACTATGATATCGGATTAAAAAAAAAAAATTAAATAGAAAATCAACAACACAATTTGAAAAGAAGTGTATTATTTCAAAATGTATTTACATGCTGGCAACGCAGCGGGTCATTAGCTAGTTCCTCTATATTCCCGACATTTTTGGCAAAGAATTCCTAGGTGGTTTGCCCCTTGGTATAAACTAACAAAGGTTCGACTTCAAATCAGGTATTTAAAATAAAAGAACATTCACATATATGATAAAATTTAAAACACATTCAAAAACACTCAAAACAAGTTTTAAGCCGACATGTATAAAAACAAGGTTTTAAAACAGGGCTCAAAAAAACAAACGAAAAGTACTCTCACACACAATATAAGAGACCTTGATATAAGCATTATTGTTATTCCTATTGTAGCAGTAATCTAATCATAAAACTCCTGAATACTATAAAATGCTTTGGTAACCAAAAACCCTTTCAAAGAATCTCTAAATGTTTTGAAGTTTGCTATGTTTTTCTGTATCACAAAGGCTGATTGAACAGATTTTTAAGAAGAAAACCCCCAAAAAGCAAGGCCGTAACGGATATGTGATTCCATCAGTGCATAGTAAGCTATTTTTGCCAAGTACACCATTCTTTTACTTTGCGGACAGACCGTTTTCTATAATATTCTTAAAACTAGTGGGTCCTTCTGTTTCCAAAGCATTGTAGTGTCATCCGCAAAGATCATAAATATCCCCAATATATCCAGGGCTGGTAAGTCATTTAAATACAATAGAAAAAGGATAGGACCCAGTACAAAACCCTGCGGAACGCCATGCGTTAAATTTTGAGATTCTGAATCGTTACAATTTGCTATCCTAACAATCTGGCTTCTTCTTGCAAGATACGATCTGAACCATTCCAACTCGCTTCCCTTGATCCCATAATGACTCAGCTTTCGCAGCAGTGTTCCGTGATTGACACAGTCAAAAGCTTTCGAAAAATCACAAAACACTGCCGCGGCCTTCTCACCATCATTGAGGGCCAAGAATAGGTTTTCCAAGAGCGAAAGCATAGTCTCATCCGTGCTCTTTCGCTCTTGAAACCCAAAGTATCTTTCTGTTAGGATATTATTTGTTTTCAAAAATATTACATTGGTAACACAGTATACATTATTAGTTGTCAGTTGATAAAAGTAAATTTGTGAGGATAAAGAGTAGGTATTGGTTGATTTGCAAGGAAGTTCCAATATATAGGGAACAGAAGCACCTATTACCCAGACAGTCTGCCTAAATACCTACGTCTTCAAGACTACAAAATTCATTTTGGAAGAAAAACATTAGAAGAGGAGCCAACGGGAATAATGAGAATTCAAGAACTTGGAATGAAAAAATTCAAGAGCCAAAAGAAAATTATGAATTTAGAATAAAGAACCTGGAATAGGAAAAATAATGAAAATTCAGGAATTTGAATTGAGAGAGAAACATTTTCTTGCTAATATTTCCTTATTAAGTTACTTATTTTATAACTTTCAATTTTTGTCTATTCCAAGCGCCAGCCTCTCTGAAATAATTCTAAGGTTTTTAAATTGTTCTAAAGCCTTTTAAAATGCTGTTTTGGAACGTTCTAAAATGGCTTATTTTATTGGAGTTCTAAAGTTTTCTAACTTGACTTGAAGAGTTTTGGAGCATTCTAGAAGCTTTTCAGTGATTTCTAAATGGTTCTGACAGATTTTAATTATATTTTAGACCCCTTGAAGCTCCACAGTGTTCTAAATTGGTGCAAAAGATTTCTAAAAGGTTTCCAGTTTAAAATTGAATCTCAATTGTTCTAAAATAATTTTGAAGTTTCTCAATTGTTCCGAAATGCTTCTGAAATTTCTGATTTAGATTTGAACTGTTTCTTTAAGGATAAAGCCCTCTGAAAGGAATTTTGTAACTAACAAGCTGAATCAGAAGATTCTGTCGCTTTTCAAAATGTTTTTGGAGATTCTATAGCGTTTGAGTATTATGGAGCGTCCTGAAATGGGTTTCAAACTTTTGAAATGTTCTAAAATGCTTTTGGAAATTGTAAATCGGTTTTGAATGTTTTGGGACATTCTAAAATCGTTCTTAAGTTTCCAAAATGCTCTGAAGCGCTATACAGAATTCCTGCGTTATATTTTAAGTGGTTTGAACTTTCCAAAAAGCTTATTAAAGTGTTTTGTAGCTTTCTAAATGGTTTCCAGTAACTTCTAAATTGAATGAGAAAAGAATTCTGTGAGAATTTTTTCTAGACATCACATCTTCCTTTAGATGTCCACAAACGACATTCAAAACGTCTTGCTTATGTCTTCAAAGCATCCCAAAAACATCTTGAGGACGTCGTATAATGTTACAAAACCCAAAGATATCTGTCTATAAACGTCTTTAGGACTAAGACATTATTCTTAAGAAGTCTTCAACGAGATGTCTTAAAGAGATATTTGAATCTCTTTTCAATACATAAACCATTATTTACTTTTAGACCCGGTTGTGCCAAATAGTTTCCTTTAATTTGTGAATTAACATTTTATAGATATCTTCGAAACATCGTCTTTTTTTGGTCTTTAGACGTTCAGACGTGATGCAGACCTAAAAAAGACGTCTTTAAGACTGATGTGTGCTGTCTGGGTATTGCAAAAAAAAGTAATTTGGGTTTCAAATACGAGACTATCGGGAGGTAAATTTTATATTTTTCTTTTGGTTATAAAAAGCAGTAGTTAGTTACTCACGTTAGTGTATTCTTAAGTGTTGGTTGTGTTTATAATTATTTTTTTTCGTGCATCGTTTCATGAGCTACAAGTGCTTGTACGACGATTTTTTAACGAAGTAAAAAATAATATCATTTTTCCAAAGTTTTTCCCTAATCCCAATGTCTCAATTCCTACACAGTCTGGATAGTAAATAAATTTTACAAAACGATCAAATTCTCAAATTCAAAAAAAAAACAAACACACCACCCTAAGTAATTTTGTTCACGTTTATGGGTAGTTTTGTTAGGATCAACGAGAAAATATAGAGAATTGAACAATTATCATTACCGAAAAATAATTTGGGCCAATATCCTTAAACAGGAAACCTAATTGCTATTTTTGGTAAAGCACCCTGAAACCTTACTCTACTTTGACTATAATTCAAATTCAGTCAAGCCATTTCACATTTGAAAGAAAGCAAAACTTTTTCTAAATTATGTAGGTATTAAGTTTTTCATAGGATCAATATATCAATTATTCCTACTAAAAAAGTTTCACATCTCAAATTCTAGATAATATACTGGAGAATGTGTGTGAAAATTATTTGGAAGAGTTTCATTAATGAACCTTATATATTCAACTTTATAATAAACTCTAAATTGAGCGATATTTACCAATTGTTTCATTCTCTGTAGTTATTAGTGCTTCTGCATGGTCTAACGTAAGTTGATTGTCTTCCATATTTTAATATTCTAGGTATTTTACCTAATATATTATTATGCACCTATTTAGTTTAAAATTATGTTATTTTTATGTTGCAAATACACACTGGACTACGAGACCATAGTCACATTACTCAGTGACTCACGCACTGGTTATATTGTCTGGTTTTATGACGGACGAATGATATGCAATTTGCAGGTTCGCACATTCTTTACTTTAATCTTCTTCTTCTTTCTCCAATGCATGGATTCGCTGCACCGGTTACCGGTTGCATCATCGTCAATTCAGGCTTGCAGTCTTGCAACATGGCAACGGTTTGCACTGACCACAATACCTATACAGAGTGAGCTAAGTATGGATGGAACGTCTATGTATTGATGCAGGATGTATAGGTATCTACTCAGTTGAGACGTTCTAGACTCAAAAATTCAATATGAATACATGTTTTTGAATTTTGAAATACGTATTGTGTCGGTAAAAAAAAAATATCTAAAATTTTACATCAAAGTCAGAAGTCAGGAGTTGGTTTTTCAATATATCGATAGTTATTAGTATTATCTATCGACATTAGAAAGAAAAAAAAACGATTCTAAGTTTCATTTCCACAAAATTAGTGGATATTATAAGAGTTCACATCTACAATCGTTTTTATGTGACTATTTTTCTGGTATTTGAATCATCTGAGACTCAACACAACACACAACTAGTGTGTTATAAATCTATAACACAACTAGTTTTTGAAATAGTAAAAAGCAACTAGAAATTTCTATAAATATATCAAATTTTAATACAAATTCCTACTACTAATAATTAGAACGATACCCGGTCTACGACCTCGTCGTTCTTATCTTTCATGCTTTCACACTCCGTTATTGTAATCATGTTCATAGAAGTTTGTAAGTAAATATAACTATTATAACTTCACAAAAATCTTTGATTGATATGAATTTCCGCCAAGTGAGGGCCGGAATCAATACAAATGATAAAATAGACGCTTTATTATTAGATATTCATAACGATCTCAAAAAAAAAATGTTAGGAAAATTTAAAGATAATTTAAATAGGTAGGTACCTACCCTATTTATAAGATAATTAGTTGACGACGGTGCATTTTCCTAATATCTTTAAGCGAAACCTCATGACAATCCCTAATAGCCCAGAAACGTTTACCTACTTGAAAAAGTTTTAAAAACGTTTCCGAGCAAACGTAAGAACGTTTTAAAAACATCAGAAATTAAATAGTTGTAACCGAGAGGGATAAACCGCCAATGTATTCCAGTGTACAAGCCTCATGTAATCCTATGTAATCGGATGTATTCTTATTTTCTCATATGTAATCGAATGTATTCTTATATGCCTTATGTATTCTTATGTATATTCATTATTCATATGTATTCTTTTGTTTTCTCTGTAGCTATTCTCTAGTGTAAGTCACGACAACGTTCTCCACAGTCAGGGGCGTAGTCACCGGTGCTCCGCGTGTTCCACGGAACACGGGCCCGGTACCTCAAGGGGCCCGGTTCTAGATGTCAATATTATTTTTATGTCATACCAGTACATAATTGTGTTTTTATATCTTAGATACCATCTACATAATTCATTAATTTATGCTCATGCCGGCATAAAGTGCACATTATGGCCCGTGCGGGCATAAAGTACACATTATGGCCCGCGCGGGCAATAAGACGCAAAAAACAGTTTTCGATCAACTTATTCTTTATTTACAAAAATATATATTTATTTTTCAATACCAACTGGTATGACATAAAAGTTTGTATGCACCACGGGGTACTAATAGATATGTACCCTCGGGCGACTTATGAACCCTCGTGCCAGAGGCCTTCGGCTTTGTAAGACTGTCTTCCTCAGGGCATATTCATCTACTTAGTATCCTTGATACATAAATAACCATTAAAATACATTTTACACATTTGACGCTAATTTATATAAAAATAAAAAATAATATATCTACAGGGTGTCCCCGTTCAAAAATGCTAGGAGGGTATATAGAGGAACCATAGAGAAGTAGTTTGAGATAGGAAACCGAGGCTCGGAAGTGCGTCGTTTCCAAAATACAGGGTGTTGAAATTTGAACAACCTCCTTTCATATCATCTGAAGACCTAATCCTAGGCTGTTCAAATTTTAAGGGATTTCAACTTCCGACCATCGGTGTTCTATCTCAAACTACTTCTCTATGGATCCTCTGCTTTTCGATTTTACCGCTTGTCGCGTATCGTATATGTTCAAAATTCATCAGTACTGAGTCACCTCCGGGTTGGTTTTAACTCCAGGGTGAGCGTATGAAGTTGCAATGTTTATCCTGGAGTTATGTGTAACCCGGAGGTAACTTGCTACTGAGAAGCCGGCCCTTAGGGTATTTCTGGCATTATTAAAAAAATAGATTGACGGACATGTCCGAGCTTCCATACTTTAGGTTCACCCTGTATAAAGTTAACCTAATACTTTAATATTGATATAAGGTATACAAAATTATAGGTACAGGGTTTTCCTCAGAAAGATGATGTCAAAACTTTACAATAAATATTCAACTCGAAAAATTATTTGTAATATGTTATAATATTGCCAATTCATATTTTTAATATTATCGTTATTTTGGATTAAAAGATTAAAATGGTTTACTCATGACTGGTAGATGATGCAACTCACAACTGCCAGCTCCTTGGCTTGGGCTCGTGAAGTAAAAAGAGGATGGGAGAAAAGGTTTGGTGACGCTATCTGAAAATGGTGATAATTGCGTAAAGTCTAATCGTTTGTAACTTAAACCCACAAAAATTGCATTCATACATGGTTGAAAAGTTTTTTCAAATACCTAATTAATGAGTACTTACCCTGAATTTAAATCAATCAAAATCAAATCCTCGACTCTCAACACATCACATTTACTCACCACCAATCACTTTGGCGTTGTCTGTTGAATTACCTGCATATACCTTCATAGCAAGACTGTTGTAAAAATCAATGGATCGTTATTATTTAAAATCACAAAATTGTTATAAATTCATATATTAATTTTACAATGTGATTTGCAAAAAAGCAAATTCATTGCTGAAATAACAATATTTATAGAAAATCCTTGTGAAATTATGTGTGTACTTTTACAAAAAATTGTAATATCGCTTTTTTTTCTGTCTTCTCACAAAAAGTTTGGCAGTTTATAGTCATTTTGGTGAAATGTTCATGATTTTGCTTGCTTTTTTTTATATAAAATTACTAAACACCATTGTAAATTTACTAACATATTAGGAATTATTGCTGATAAAAATAACTGCATTAATTTAGATTTGCCACTAATCATAGACCAAGGCATAAACGTTTCATGATTATGTCAATTTTAACGAAACTGAAATAGGCGAACTTAAAAACCTCGCCATATGGAAGAGGAATAAAACTCATTATTGGATTTGAAAGATTTCTCCAATAAATTTACCGAAGCTAGATATTACAGAAAAATCTCCTCATGTTAGCGTAAAGCTAAAGGAAAAATATATCATAATTAAAAAGTCGGCGTTTTGTTGGCTTTTAAATAAGTTCTCGGGTAAAGAAAGTACCTAGGTATACCTACAGACTCCGAAGATTTTATTCCAACGATAGAACTCTGCCTAAATCGAGTTCAGCTAACCGCATTAAAAAATCTAGACTTACAAGAAATCCTAAAAAAAACGAATTAACGAAATAATAGTTAATAATATACCTATTATGATTTTGTAAGGACAGAATTTACATTGAGCTCTACATCTACATCTGGAGGATGAACACAAATGAAGCATTTAGTTGACGATTCTTGAGATGACGAAATGCAAACAGAAACCTCAAGTAAAGAAGATAAGATACCGACTCAAAATTTCAAAATCTAAGCTGCTGGAGTAGATGAAACATGGTCCTATTGAGTTATTAGGTAACGATCCATTTCAATGTATTCCCAAAAAATATAAGATCAAGCATCAGATTATAAGTCAAAACAGTTATAACAATTAGTTAGTTTTGCAATATATCATGTTGATTTTTAACAATAATTATAATAATTCCTTCATATTCGAGTCTAATAAGATGTTAACTGTGTTTTTTTGAAAACGCACATATTTACTGTCAGTATGTAATGAATTCGAAATTGGATGCCGAATGATCCCGAAAATGGTTCCGAAATTTTATTCCACGACTAAGATTAATTAGTCAACTCGAGAATTGAAACTCTATCAGTTAATTATAAGGTTTCGTTTATTAAAATAGAAATATAATTGTTTAGCAAGAGGGAAACTTGATGCGTTTTAAAAGATTACTTCGTGTTCTCGGTCTGAAGCCCGGATTCTGAATGTCTCGTCTTCAATCTTTCTTTTCCCAAGAAAACAGCTTCATGGGACGGAGGGCGGCTTCTTCAAATTATAACTCTATACAGATTTTAAAGTGCTAAAATGTTTTATTACATGCTATTTGGAAAGTTTGTACAATCATAAACACTAAAATTAACTTAAGGAGCTAAGGGCAATAATTCTCACCATCTGGATAATAAAATAACTGAAGGGTATAGGTATACTCTGTCTTTGGCGGCAAGAGTACATTGTATTTATTTATATTTACAATAATTGGGGGTTCTGCAATAGAATTATATAAGAAACGGAAACATCTTTTAGTGAAATTAATGTGGACAGGACATTGGTTGTATAATAATTCTAGCGGCATCGTCTTTGAAACCTAAATATGCAATATAATTATATAAAGTACCTACCTAGGTACCTATTGAAACGAGGAACTAAACTACACAGATGATGGAATTTGCTTGAAGGAAATGTAGTGAAAATTGTATTATTGATATTAAAATAAAGTATTTACTAATTCACAACAAGTAGTAAGTACTCAGTTACATACGCTCTCCTTTGTATTGTCTTGCAATTGCATGTATTCCTATGTATTTTCAATTTTCATATGTACTCAGATGTATTCTCTTGTCATCATATGTATTCTATTTCTATGTATTCCTTGGTACTCCATGTATTCAGTGCACAAATTTGACTGGCGGTTTGCCCCTCGCAATAGACCTTTTCCTAGAGTGCAAATACTGCAAATGTAACAAACTTCGTGGAAACAAGAAGTACACTGGCCTCTGGCCTAACCAGCATACCTACGCTCTACGCTACTGTCGTTAATACCTTGGGTCCTGTACAAAATGTTTTTTATAGGTTTTTGAAGGTGGTTTAAGAAACGACAAACGACCAGCATAAACCTTTATGAAACGTATTTTTTTATGAAAACATGCTTTTAAGTAGCTGATGAAAAAAACGTATTTGAAAAGTTTTCACTTATGGCTTTGGAAATGATTTGTATAAATAGTATATTTCCTAACTAGTGCGGAAAGTACCAGTTTTCCGACGCGCAGCGGAGTTCGGCAAGCAATTAAGTGCGGAAAAGAGACTTTCCGCACGAGTTAGGAACACTATTTTTTCTACTAGATGAAAGTTAATATAAGTTAATATTTCTACCTACATATTTATCAATTCAAGATATTTTATTGACTTTTTCGCACCTGTACCTGTACCTGTAGTATACTCTATACCTAAAAATTTCAGGTATTCTACTTTTCCGCGTTCAGTGCGGAAAAAAACGGAAAAGCACTAGTGCGGAAAAGTGGTACTTTCATGACCTAAAATGCGCGCGGAAAAATACACTTTTCCGCACGCTCGTAGAAAAAATTATGTTCGAAATTTTTCCGATTAAACTATGAATTCGTTTCTATTACCCATGTAATTCAAATGAACAAGAATTTACATTCATGCATTCTAGAGATTTCTCGATTGAATAGCTTTATACGTATCTAAAGGGCCTATTTTCAATTTTGTAAGTTGTATAGTCAAAATTTTGCTCAAAGTCAGCTTCACCTTTTACGTAATTCACCTTGGTAAAAGGTGAACCAGGTGAAGCTGGACTAAAGCAAAATTTGGTATATTTCATCTAATATTGGACACATTTTCGATATAATAATTAAAAACAATAGTAATAAGACTAATAAGCAAGACTAGACGGGAACTTAACACTCTTACCAGCTTCCAACGATGAGATATTATAATTTATTTTGAAAAATCATTGATTAGTGCATGATGTCTCCAAAATTACTGCATTTAATTATAGAACATGTAACATATATCAGGGCTAAAATTTAATGTAGAATCCAAAAACATTTTCTAAAATGGGTCATTCCATTTAAATTAAGCAAGAAATGGTAAATTTTTTGCTATATTTTCTAAATCCGCCTTTCTATTTTTTTTTTTTAAATAAATGCTCCTAATTCCTCATAAAAATCCCAACAACTTTTATATTTAACATTTTTTTGTAGGTACCTACCTCTTGATTTAACAGGTATATAAGGTAGAAAGCACAAAACCAATCAAGCAAACTAAAAAGAGGGCACCAAATAATATTACTGCTGCAGAAGGAGAACGGAATTCCAAACCTGACTGTATAGGAGTACTGCTGATATCTGGCTCTCCTTCGTGACTCGCAGCTTTCGATAAAGATGAAGTTGCAACAGTACGATTTTCAAATCTCACATGTTTTCTGATAAACTGGCAGAACAACGTATTATCCGTTCACAATCAGATGTCCACAGGTAGGTAGGTACAGGTAAAATCACCTTTCAATGCTATTTGATAGGGAAAGGTGATAAATTTACCTGCACCTGTGGACATCGGATTGTGAACAGGATTATTGTAGTATGATACAAACACAGTGCAAGCAGGTTTTCGCTTACCAGTAACCAGCGCCGATTCGCGCTTATAAGCGCGAAAAATGAATGCATGTTTTCAAATCGGCTAGTACACAGTAACAAACAAGTAGAGTACCTGCTTTTTACTGTGTTCTAGCCGATCTAAAAACATAGGTACCTATGCATTCATTTTTCGCGCTTATAAGCGCGAGTCGGCGCTGGTTACCGGTAATAAGCGGAAATCTGCTTGCACTGTGTTTGTACACTACAGATAGCTTATCCAGGCCAGGCGACCTTGCCGAATTCAACGCAAACACTACCTCAGATTTGACCAGAGTGCAAGAATTCCTGTTAACTGTTAAGCCTTTGATTTGAAACGGATCAAGAACCGAGTTCCAAATAGCCTATCAAACCATTTTTGAACCAAAATAGGAAATCGGCAGTAGATCGCCAACAAACTGTAGAAAAGAAAAATCCGGCGAGTAAAGAAAGAAAAACTCACAGGAATACGACTACCAAAGGAGCACGTAGTCATTCTTCCATTTCCCGAGACGTCCAGTCCATGGCAAGAAGAACCACATACGCGTATACTTGAATGGACACAAAGACATCTTATAGATGACATCCATTTGGCAGGCACATTAGCATGAGTGGATAGTTGGGATGGGATGATGGAGATGATTACGAATTACGAGTAGGTATATAACGAAGAACATAGATCTACATTCTATAGAGGACAAGTTCTAACGACTGTAAAATGCATTGTACCTACTGTCGGTTTGAGGAAAACCACCTATTTAAAATATTGTTTTTTCAAATCTTGACTTTTTAAAAAAAAATTTTACTGAATAAAAGTGAATGTTGCAACCATGTACCTCTATGTGCCCTCAAGTTTAGGATTGAACGAGCGCGCCACAGAAAACGAAGGTTACCGAAACCGAAGAGGATACAAGAGAATATGCAACTAGACTACAGAACGAGCTGGACTGGTCCCTTAGAAAACGTGTCGCGTGTCTGTAATTATTCATTATTCAATTTTCATTTCTATTTTGGATTAAAATTGATTGTTCAATCCAATTTGTTATTAGTGTGTGTGTAAAGGAGCGTTCACAGGTTAGTGGATTAAATGTTATTTCGTTTTTGAGGGTTCAATTTATGCAAGTTCCTATTATTTTGTTCATTTTTATGTTTTTTTTTGTTTGTTTATAACATTTTTCATAACATGTGCATTGTTTATGTATTCAACAAAAATCGTTTCATGCTGTAAACAACACCGATAAAGAAGTAAATTAAAACCTAAGAAATTATGTGCTGTCTTTTTGTGTTGAGATTTGGATTTTGTGAATTTAGAGCGTGCATTAGGACCTTGTTGAATCTACTAACATTTTCCTACCCTGACGAGAGAATATCCTAGCAAATTGAAATAATCAATCTAGAGATATTGGCTCAAAAACAACTATAGCCGAGTTACTTCCCGTATGGGACCTCAGTACCTGCTGGGAAACTGGCTAACTAACAAAAACTCTTCAGTATTGATTATAGGTAGTGTTGATTGAATGTAGTGTGTGTAATTGAAATTTTAACACAAAGACAAAGGATGGTACCTAATTTAAACTTTTATTGACTTAAATTATTGAATTATTGACTCACAATTATTATTAAAATGCCACAGTATGTTTCGATTTTTGAGGAATGTTAAATCGAGGGTTTCTCTGCCGTGCTCTTTCCCCTCGTTAGTTCCAGGATTAGAACGGTACGATTTACTTTGTGATAATAAAGTGGACGTTTCACAAATTTTTCGTTTCTTTTTCTTTTACATATCACAACTTCCCTTTAATTTCCCAAATATTTACTGTCGGGCGCATGTCCAGTAAGTGAAAAAATTGAGTAAGTTTCCACAACATAGGTCCTATTTGTTTTCCATTTCATTTTTCAGAAGATTTGTTGTTAAAAGGTTATACAAATTCTCATCGTTCAATCTTACTGAACGAACCCGGGTATGTTATACTACAGGTTCTAGAGAGATAGATGAATTTGAGGGGAGGGATAGACATGAAACAGGTAAGTAGTGCGTCTTGATAGGTTGAAGGCTTATCACGAGAATAAAAAAAAAATTACACAGGCCATTTCTCATTGCAAAATGTACAGTTTATCTACTTTTAATCTCTTTGTTGGCAGTCACCTGAAATAAAGTAATACGAAAAATGTTTTCCAAATTGAGAAGGGATTTCAGCTCAGGTTGAAAAAAAGCTATATGACATCGTTATAATATATTTTATTACTCTATAAATAAGTGTACCAAATATTATGGGCCTATAAAAATACAAAATTTAAATAAAATAAGGCCATCATGTATTTCACTAATATTCTTTTAAATCACAAACCTTCAAGGCTTTCCACAGCTCTTTACAGCTGAAAATAAAGACTGCTTGATAAGTTGCAAGTAAACATAGGACTCGGGGTAAAAATACTGGGTTACCCACTAGCAGAAGCACTAATACATATCTAGGTAATTAAAAACTTTTCTGTAGCTTAACCAATTAATTTGCCTAATATGCTATAAAAATAGATAAAATTATACAATATACATAACAAAAACATCTATAAAAACTTTAACTTAATTTTAAAATCGTAAAAATATTCAGCTGCATAATGGTTGGTATCTAAAAACTCTTTGGATTTAACTATGGTAACAATAAAACTTACAATTATTTTTACAAGACAAATTACAAAATTTAAAAAAAAAAAAAGAGTATTGACTCTCCAACCAAAGCTACGGACAATACCCTTATTGGTTGAATGTCAATATCCTTTATATTGACCGCAATTTTGAATAAAGAAGAGAAGGGAATAAAAAAATCAATGGCCTTTTTCAATTTTGTAAAACAAAAATAATTTTATATAAAATTAATATTTGAATATTATTTCATTATTATCAAGATTGACTTGCAGCATTACTTTTATCCAACTCCCAGATCACCTAAAATATTACATAAATGGTGGTCCTAGGTAAATAATTATTATCAAATCTAGCAAATAGTAAATTCATATAAATTATGTCTTATATGTATGTAGCAATAGCATCCTAAGACCAAGACCAATGATTTTGATTGTTAAAAAATATACATGTATGGACGAGGAACTCAAAATTGCAGACTAATACATTTTCCAAAGAAAATTTAGCACCAGAACAAACTTATCACATAGTCCAAATTCACTAATTTCCATGCTCAAAATAATATCCCCCACAAATGCTACAATTTACTCTACTGGCTCTAAATCCTGCAGAATGACGATCCCGCCTCTTTTCACTCTCCTTTTTCTCTTCGTTTTCAAATATAAGCCTGGCAATCCAAGCAGTAACATATCCTGCAATCTCAGTTAATACTGCTCTGATGAGATGCTCACCCGAAAAGCTATGACTAACAGCCAATTCAAAAAATGCCACAGTACGTTTCACGTATAAAGGATTTATTTTATCAAATATTGGATCTTTATATATTGGATCTCCTGTTTGTTGGTATTTTTGATATTTCTGCTCCCATTCGTCAACTTTTTGACTAAAGTATGAAACACCCAAGCGCAAAAATTCAAAAAATTGAGAATGTTTTGGTAAAATTCGATCGATTTCTTCTGCAAATGAACTGGATACTTTAGTGATGATATAATGTATCGCTTGCTGAATGGCATTAATAACTTTAGATTTAATGTCGCTACTGCAAAATATTAAAATTTTTGATGTCAATTTTATTAATTCTGGTAAATTAATAGTGGAACTATCAATTTTCATATCATCCAACAAGCCATTTATAGCGGTTTTAAGTAAATTATTGTTGTTGGTAGGATTTGAACTGGACGAAGCTCCTAAATTAACTACTGATTTGTCTTGGGCCAAATTATTGAGAAAAACTTCCGTTTGTTTCTTGTTGAAACCAATAAATTCGTTCATATCCACAGCGATGCCTCCTAATGTAATTTTTCCATCTTGAGCTGAAATCTTGATACCTGCATCATTCATTGCCTTATTGTTTCTAGTTAAAGCCGCAAAAACTTCATCTTTATTTTGTATGTTTCTTATAGCTGATATTACTTCTGCTCTGCCTCTGGCTCCATCTCCTTGGGTTCTGATAGTTTCTTTCATCAGCTTATTAAAAGTTTTTCTAGAAAAAACATTTCTATTAGTTTTGGACTGCAAGCTTTTCAGGATACATTATAAACAAGAAGTAATTTGCTATACCTACAATGAGGAGCAGGAAGACTATTTGAATTAGTTATTTAGTTTTATTATTGAGTCATTTACCTGTGCCTATTGCTTCTCAAAGAATCTTGATAGTCTTTCAAAACTCTAGCTTGAGTTTCCTCGATAATAGTTTGTGCCCCTCTGAAATTGTAAACTGCGTGCCCAAAGAATAATACAGACGAGCTCAGTTGCAATATAGTCAGTGCTGATGGAGTTTGGTTTTCATTGTACCACTGATCGAAAACATCATATCCTGAATTGATAAGACTTGCGCCTCCTGCACCCAGATTCAGAACACCGATTGTATTAACCAAATAAGTAGCACCCTAAAAAAACAATTATCTAATGATAGATAATTTAATTTAAATTTTTCAACTTACTTGTCCAAGATTAACACCTCGTGCGGCCAATTGTGTCAATGCCACATTAGCTCCCGCTCCTGCGAACCCTAAAGAACCTGCCACGATGTTCAAGTAAGCTCCTCTAGCTTCTGAATTCATAAAACTAATTGTCTCTTTATGCGCCCTCCTATCGTACAATGTGTAAATACTCCTGCCAAGAGCCCATGCTCCTGCTCCAGCTCCAACGACACCTGCAGCTATTAAAACAGGTGGAGCAACTGCTAAACCAGCTGTAGCCACAAAAACACAACCTGAAGCCAGGCCTGCTATACTAGTTACTATATCTCCTACTTGAAGAAGTTTACTGTCCAAATGACATGGAGGTGATAAGTGGCGTTCTAGAAGAACTGTATTGTTCCTTACTTCGTACCTAAAATAAATACATACTTTATTAGTTGTATGTGTGTATATATTAGTGTATCAATGTGGTACTTGATCCAGAAAAGTGAAGTGCAAACAGAAGTATTGGCAGAATTCAAAGCCAGAGAAGCATACAGAGTGTGATAATATAGGAAGCAAAAATAGAAAGTAAGAAGACTAAAGAAAGAAGTGGAACATGCAATAGAGAAAATACTAGTGAAGAGGGCAGCGAAGTCAATTGCCAGTCAGAGAAGGAAGTTTAATAAAGGACCACGCACGGATCTCATGAGAAAAAATAAATTTCACGATTGTCATGAAATTGAAATATGTTATGCTTCTCGACCTCCTGAACATGAGTTCTCGTAGGCCCAAAAAGATCCTATGATTAGTTTCGGAGATACAGGCCCAATAAAAGAAAGTAGTACAAATAGTTATTTATGTACCAAGGTTTGTAAGTGTTAATTTTTTGGCCGAGGTTTGCAAGCATTTGAGGCCAAAAAAGTACATGTTACCAGTCGAGGTGCATATGATATTTTTTGTGCTACCGTACATTCAAGATAATAAAAATGTTTCTTATACTTTCAAAATTACAAAGTAAATAACTATGAAGTATCTCATTTTTATATTATTGCCTATCTGTTTATGCTAATTTCAACTTTTTGATGTCTAGGTATTTTCTATTTGTTTCAATAAAATTGTATCCTTAATTTGTTTTGGGTTTTTTATTTAAGAATGTTTTTGTGACATTATTTTGACAGAGATATGAACCAAGCAATTTTCACCTTTCATATCAACACCAGGTCAAAAAAGTAACTTTTTTGGCCCTGACAAAAAAGTAACTTTTTTGTTTTTGGGCCTACGAGAACTTACGTTCAGGAGGTCGAGAAGCATAAAATATTTCAATTTCGTGAAATTTATTTTTTCTCATAAGATCCGTAAGTGATCCTTTATAAATATATGAAAAAATTATCAGTACAGCAACATTCCATGGTAGGGGTAGGCATAAATATCTAATCATTAATCTAAGTTCCTTAAGTACACACCTACCTCCCATTTCTTGGAACAACCATCTCACATTTCGGATACTTGTTATTTATTAAATAATTGGTCCAACTTCGATAAACCCTTCCATTATCATCTATAAATACTCTGCATGGATTTTGGCTGCCTCGGCATTTCCTCAAAATAAAGATAGGCACTGGATTTACATCCGTTTGTGGATTGTAATCGGAAAATTTCTTCGATCTTTTCAGTTTCTCCTCCGGAAGTGGTTCCAAACAGTTGTAAACAAATGATATTTCAATATGATCTTTAAATTGAGCAATGGCATCTGCAAAATATTATTGAAGATTTTGCTTTAAGCAACAAAAAATTATTAACTTACTACTTTGGGTTTGGATAACTTTAAATAAAGAGTCAATGTGCGTCTTAGTCTTTTCCTCATATCCACTAGTCTGTTGTGGAGGACCCTTGAGTGCAAAACCAATTTTATCTTTCAAATAGTTATGCTGATCAAACTCAAAGCTATCATAGTCCCTATCTCCTAACATATCAGCCCAAATACTATGCAATTTCTCTGAACCCAAGTCATTTTGGTTACTTTTCTGACGTTCTATCTCAGCCAATTCTTTTTCCCTCTCTATCTCCTTATTGAAGGCCACTTCAACTTCTTTTAAGCTCTTGATTGCGTGTGCTAAAGTTATTTTACCACGTAGGCATAAAAATACACTTATAGTACCATTTACTGGCAGTATACATAGAGCTATAGACACTTTACCAAGTACAAGATCTGATACAATGGCCAAATTAGCATGGCGACTTAAGGTAGTAACTAAGACATCATGGTAATCAGGATTTTCGACATCCCAACCCAAAACTAGGAAGTTTCTGTTTAAAGTTTGTGCCAGTTCTCTGGATTGTAAGTTTCCCGAAAACATCTTCGAGAAGGGCATCTCAGAATTATGAAGATAAAGTAAAAGTGCTTTGCGCTAAAAAAGATAATATGGAGAATGTATATGTTCAGATATTATTGTAAATAAGATATAACTATGTTTATACCTCTCCAAATTTCTGTTTGCAAAACATGAAAATATGAAATTAATTTTTTTGGTTATAAGGAAAGTGAAAATAGCTTACCTCGTTGAAGGGTGAAGTGCAAATAAATTTAAGAGCATCGTCTAATACTACTTCCCTGAATGTAACTGAAATGTCTTTGGGCAACTTTTTCTTCAGACTCTTTATTGCTTCAATTTCCATGGCTAAAATAGTTATTTTTTATTGAAGGAGTTAAGTAAATATTTGTGTATTGAGAGCCACAGGTTCACAAATAAGGGAGTCTAAGAACCAAGAGCTTGAAAGTCACCTAGGAGTAGGAACATAACTGGCACATAAATGCTATTAAATATACACTTGCTTTTAGCTCAAACCCAAACTCAATCCTAATGAATGTTAGTCCACATTACATTACATGCTTCTTAACTATTTAAAGATGCTACTCATGCATCCTACATCCTACCATGTAGCAGCTACCATAGCATGCAAATCGAGTAATATCAGAGATTAACTTTACCTGTAGTATGTTCATCTTTGCCATTATCTTCCAAATTATCACAACTGTTAGGTTCAAATTGTTGCCTAACAGCCCGAAAACTTTCCAACATACTCTGAAAGCCAAAGCGTCCTCTCAAACAAAAAAATAAGGCCACTCCACTCTTGTCTGGAATCAAGCAAATGGCAGCACTACTTTTATTTGTGATTAGTTGTGAAATAATTAACAACTGGCCATAAGGTTCTAAGGCACGTTTTAGGGCACTGTGGTGGTACTGATCTTCAACATCCCATCCAATAACGAAGAAAACTTCTTCAATGATTGTTTTGATTTCTTCATCGTGGATTAGGTTAAGGAATTCTTGTGAGAAAGAATCCTGGGAGTTGTGCAGGTACAATAACAAGGCTTTCTGAAATTTATAATCAAGATCCAATTGGAACATTGTAAATTCTTCTTCAGTCAACTTGTTCAAAAACACACTGGGCTGACTGGAGAATGAAATAGCTAAATGGACCAAATCATCAATGTGTGCACTATATACATTGATATTTTAACAGTATGGATGACTCAATGCAATAGTCTTATCAGTTTATTTTGAGTATGGTTATTATTGTTAACCCATAATCAAGTAAAATAAAGATGTTTTATTGACCACAGATATGTAGTATGAATATTGTATAAAAATTAAATATAAAAGCAAACATGTATTATTTTCAAAAGAATAAAGGTAGGTATAGAATTGAGGGTATGTTGGGGCATGTATTATCTGACAAAAATCACCAAACTAACACACATTTACCTAAGAACTATAAGAAAGAAGAAAAAAAAAACAGTTTTTGTGTTCATCCATAATAATGATTAGGTAATAATTAGGTAGAGTGAAGATTTACCTGGCTTCCAGGATTAGATAAATTGGAGACTGCATCTTGAAAAGACATCTGCCTCAATTTGAATGGCAAATTTGAAGGTAATTTCTCTTTTAATCTACTGATAGCACTCATTTCTCGTTCTAAAATAAACATTTTCAATAATGATGAGTACTTTATTGTGTACCTGATGGCTGTTTCCACCAGCTATTTTAGGGGAGCCCTAACAATAAGTATTCCTTAAACTGATATTTCTTCATGTAAAAATGTCATTTTAGGGAATACTTATCGTTAAAGCTCCCATAAAATAGTTGGTGGAAACAGCCATGAAATATCAAAAATCTTTACCTAGAAATTCCTTTTCACTTATTTCGCTTCTATTGTTTGAAAAATGTACGGAAAAATCTTGAGGTTTGGGAGATTTAGTTTCTTTAACATTTAAACAATGGATATCATTAGAAGGCGAGACACATTCTTTCAAGATTGTGTCTTCACTGGAAGGAGACTTGTACCAGTTACTTATTTCTTGATTTGCCACAGGTATATTTAAATCATTGTCGATTTCTATTTTTAGTTGTTCTGTTAAAGAATAAAGATGTTTTATTATTTTTAGGCTTCCCTTAGGTGTATCTTAACATAGGTATTGATAAAATTTGAAAGTTCCAGTTAAACTATAAAATAATGAAGCACTTACCAACTGTATCATACTCTGATAAAGTTATCAGAGTTTCTCCAGAGTCAAATGCAATGAAAAATGTAAGCTGATTTCCCTCCATCTCGAACTGATCACCACCAGTGCTTCCTATTCCTCTTTATATAATTGAAAATAGATTCTAAAAATAATGGGGTTTCACTTCTGTGCTTCCCCCAACGCATATAGTAGGAGTACCTAAAACTGTCACAAATAAAACTGATAAAAATAAGATAAAGCAAGGTCTAGAAAAAATGCTTTTTAAATAGGAAAGTGAGTAGTGCAAAGTTGTACCCAATAATAATATTTGCTCTATGGATTATAACAGTAAAAACATTAGGACAATAATCTACTTGGGTAATGCGGGTAATGCCACTGCACTCTAAACCAAAGAATTCTAAACATAAATTGTGTTTTCTACTCAAGATGATTTTGTCTAATTTTTATTAAACATAAAAGATAAGTGTTTTACTAGTTTTACCTTATATAAATAATAATTCAAAACCTTTAATAATACATTTTTATTTATAAATTAAGGCACTAATAAAAAACATTCAATTATTTCAATTGGACATTTGCTTCCAATGTTGCCAAGTGAACAAGTGTCAAAGTAAAAAAGGGAAATAAAATCTGTTTTTTTTTTTAAAGATAAAAGTCAAAATGATATTGTGTTGGCAATGCAACGTAAAATTGTCAAAGCTTTCAATTTTTTTATGTAGAAAAGGCTTGTGTTGCCAACATAGTTACTAAATTTTTGACTTGGGGAATTATCTTTAAAAAAAAAACAGACTTTATCTTTTTCTAATTTCACAAAACTCTCGATCACGAGCTGGCATCACTGTGTGCAGTGTTGAGCATTTTCAGGAGCACCACCACGACCAATGAACTATGATATTATCGATATCGATAGTCAGAAACCATCCAAACTATCGATAGTCTCAACAAAATTCAAAATTCAGCACTTTTCTGCATGAGGCTATTTGTTCAATTTATAGTCCAGGAGGTGGCGCCAAAAACATGCAAGAGTTTTCGCAAGGCGGATATTTTCAAAATAGGTCGTACTTTAGTGCTAGAATGCTAGTGTACAGTCAGCACTCACAGTTCCGGGACAGCTGGCTCTGGGACGCAGGCAAAGTTGTAATTTTAAGAAGCATCTAAACTGTTTTCTCAAAGCTCAAAATTTATAGAAATTTTGCACATTATCTGTTTGAAGGTCACAGATAACGTATGTAAATCGTCAGACGTCTAGTTCGTTGCAAAAAGGGGGTCAGACGTCCTCAAAGTTTTTATTTTATGGCATTTTCTTCAAATATATTAGTCAAATACCTGCAAAAATATATTTTGACAGGACACCGAAGAAAATGCCATAAAATAAAAACTTTGAGGACGTCTGACCCACTTTTTGCAACGAACTAGACGTCTGACGATTTACATACGTTATCTGTGACCCTCAAACAGATAATGTGCAAAATTTCTATAAATTTTGAGCTTTGAGAAAACAGTTTAGATGCTTCTTAAAATTACAACTTTGCCCGCGTCCCAGAGCCAGCTGTCTCGGAACTGTGAGTGCTGACTGTACACTAGCATTCTAGCACTAAAGTACGACCTATTTTGAAAATATCCGCCTTGCGAAAACTCTTGCTTGTTTTTGACGCCAGCTCCCCAACTATTACTAGAACAAAATTTTCGCGACGAACTACTTCCATGATTTCATGAACGCAGACGCTTTCGCGAGAAAATCCTGACGTCATATTGAACGTAGTTCACCGGAAGCATGAACGCAACTTCTAGCCAGCGTTCAAACTCATGACGTCACAAGACGACCTATGGTTCGTCCTTGGATGCACTACATTCGTCGCGAAAATTTGGTTTAGTACAACCCAATCCAAACGAATGACCCCGGATAAAAAAATAAAAAGGTCGCAGCAACTAAAATAGAGGGTTTTATTTGTATCTGCTAGAACTGCTTCAAGCAGATCTGGAATTCTTTTCTCCCAGGCAGGGTTGAGCTTGCCCACACCGAGCTCTCCGAGTGATTTTGTACGCACTCCGATCGTTCGGGTATTGTTTTTGGCGCTCGACTCCGTACTCCCGTTTCGTTTGAGTTTGAGACTATACAGGGTGATTTATTTACGTATATGCATTTCAGATTTGGCGATTTTAAAAATCAATGCGGTACCTGGCAGAAATATTTGGAACTAACTTAACGAGTAATAGATCGTTTGTTTACATACCGTATTGGAATATTTTCTTGCTTTTTCGATGTTTTCCTTAGAGCAGGTAAAGGTAAAGAGGAGTAGTAACCTGAAATTGGAAAATGAAGCCGTTTTTTTTCCAGGTATTTTACCTGTATTTTGGTGCCAAACACCTGCCAAAAACTTGGCTTCAATTTTGTTTCATAAGCAGAATGGCGCGTTCCTACTCCTTATGTCCGTAGAACAGCGCTTTACCTGCTCTAAGAAGTTTTCTGTTCGGTCCTGACGGTCCTAATTTAAATTACGACGTGTTTTGTGTCGTAAAGTAGGAAGTAGGAAATAATCAAGGGAAAGCTTTTATTGTGATTCTGTGAGGTGCTTATTACAGGAATTCGATAGCATCTGCCTCAAAGTCCCAGCACAACAACAACACAAACTGCTGTGGTGGGACAAACACTTTTCGAAAGGCATAAGCGCGTAACGCCCCGGAGCTTTTCCAGAGCTCCTCATAGGTGTAAAAGGAATACAACCAGAGATAAATAATATTATTATATAAACTGTCGAAAATGGAATCTCAGTGTAAATTTTTTTGTCGACAAAATTGAGCCAAACTAGCGGCATCTATCATATTGGAAACATCACTAATTACTAGTTTTGCATCGACGCTACAGACACCTACTTTACATAGGGCTTTAAGGCATTTTTATGATAGATGGCGCCCTCTTCGCATTACAGTAGGTCTTTTCAAATTTGTTTATTCTAGACTGGCCGAGTTCGTTTTTGTCATCTTTTTCGTCGATTGGCTGCGAAATTTTGACAGGCATGTGACTGGATATGACAATTTCAGTTTACAAATCACGTGCCTGTCAAAATTTCGGAGCAAATCGACGAAAAAGATGACAAAAACGAACTCGGCCACTGTATAGGACATTAATGTTTGCTTAAATTAATTGATGTGTCTCGTAATACCTGGTGTGCGCGAGCAACTCGTGGGCTGCAGGTGAGCGTCCAATGAAAATCGAGTTTGTTACGGGCTTGCGTCATATTCGTATTTAGGGACGAGTTCAGAAATAATCGTTCCTTCTTTCTTTGTAACGTGTAATTCGACAAAGAGCAAATTAATACTTTATGTATTAGGTCTGTTCGCAGAGAAATCACAAACCAGTCAGAGTGAATCTCATTGGTTGAAACTAGTTTTCTGATTGTTTTCAACCAATGAAATGCGCTCTGACTGGTTTGTGATTGCTGTGCGAACAGGCCTATTACTTGAACTTATCCCAGTGTCGTTTAAGGTTATGTTACATTATACTTGACATATTCCTTCGCAATTTCATTGTGCGATGTTGCCGGATGAAACATTTATCAAAATAGAATTGCCATCGATGTTAACTTACACTTTGAAGCTCTTCTTTTGTCTGATTTAAGGCGTTGTAAAACACTTGACAATATATCACTTCTTTAATGTTACAATGTTCAATTTGTATTATCTACATTTGTTCTGCAACAATACAATCTGGCTACACTGCAGCCACGAGTTGAGCGCGCATGTAATTTTTTATTACTTTCTAATTTGTATATATTACTATAAATCATAAAAATACATTAATTAAAACCTATATCAGCGAAAAAAACAATTTTTTTTTGTCGCAAATTTGTTCGGAAAATTTCAAATTATTTCCAGCGGGAAAAAACGCTCTGGTACTGGTCGTGACGTCATCTAGTATGATCTGTCAGTGTCTGTCAGCAACCGTCGATCATACCGTGAGTTCGTCTTGAAACACCGAGTGAAACACTGAGCGCTTGGAGCATTTTCTGTCTTTTTTTCTTATGATGAGAAGAACAGGGATAAAAGAACAAAACAGCAGCTCTGAGCGTTTACTCGAACTCTAAAGTCTGTTTTTTTTTCTAAAAAATAATTCCCCAAGTCAAAAATTTAGTAACTATGTTGGCAACACAAGCCTTTTCTACATAAAAAATTGAAAGCTTTGACAATTTTACATTGTATTGCCAACACAATATCATTTTGACTTTTATCTTTAAAAAAAAAACAGATTTTACATAATAAATACCCGTTAGCTGTGTTTATCCACGTTTTTCTCTAATTTTTCAAAATTTATCATTTATTAGAATTATTGGTTTACCTGGCTTAAATTTAATGATTAGCTCAGCATTATATAAATAAAACGATATACCTATTAATTATGATCGAAGAAGGAAATTCCAAAGGCCAATCTGACAATCTGTAATTTGTGATGAAGCCGGCGCCGCACGATGTGTGGAATGCCTTCCAACCACAGATTAACCCGTCCTAAAGATAGGAATCTTCCATGTAAAATGTTCGTTCGGAGCTGTCTCGAAACAGCCTTTGTCAATTGTGTTTGTCATCAGTTAGCCGTTTGATCTGTGTTAGTGTTCATTTATTTAATTTCCTATCAATTTTTGATAAAACTATGAGTTGTTAAAATGTTTTTAAAAAAGAGACTTTTATGTTACATTCAAACATAGTGGAAATGCTCGTGGAATTGGGATTAGTGATGGTTTTTATTCGCCATTGTTTGACATTCACATGAAGTGTGATTTGTGCACCAAATAAGACCAAAATTCCTAAAAATATACCTTCATTTATAGCATAGGTATTACTGCAGTGGAAGCTTCTGAATTCATGCCATCACCACTTTATCCTCAGAGACTTTGCTGACTGTGGAATTAGTGAATTTTATTTGCAGTATTATAAACTTTTTATTGTTTTTTTTAATACGTTTTTCTATTATTGTTGTGTTTAAGGCTGTTCCAATAAAGAACTCGGTACGAAAATGGTGTTTTATTTCAAAAAAATTACAAATAGTAATAAAATAAAATCGATTAGGGACAAATTATTTAAAAAAAGGCGGGAGACCACGTGACTACAACACTGAACACACTGAAGTGCACACTAGCGCCCCCATGCTGTGACAGTCATACAACTCGTATCAGTAAGACAAGGATAGGGGAAAAGGCACGAGTTTCCTATCTTTAGGACGGGTTAATCTGTGCTTCCAACGTTGGACACATAGCGATTTGTGGAATCGTGTAGCCGTGCGCTCATCGGATACATTCAATGAACTATAGCTAAAAACTGGAATACGCACACATTGCCATATCTGCCAAAAAAATGAAGCCATGAAAGACAGATGCCACAAGGGGGAATGTTGTTTTTTTCTGTTGCTCGCTGACATATGACGTTTTCGATAGTTTTGTCATATTTCCCTTCACAGGTTTCATCAATTGGAATACGTGTTGGAAGCAATTTTCGCCATTTAACATAATGAGTGCGACAAAAACAGGTATCCCCTCCGCAGCAGCCGCACTAGGCTTCAAGTTCGTCCTTATGTGTTAGCATTCCAGTTTTTGGTTATAGTTCATTGGATACATTTGCCGAATGTTAGAGTACAAAGCACTGTATCCAACGTTGGATCCAACGTTGGGGCCAATGGTTGGACACATAGTGTGGCGCCGGCTTAACGCAAAATCATACTACGTGACTACAGTGGCTAAATAAACCTTTACATACAGTGGCGACAATAGAGTTCCCGCCGCCGTCTTGTTCCCAACCTCTTGTTACTTTCAAATATTAATATATAAGATTTAAATACGACATCTATCATAAAAAATTAAAATCGGCATATTTGATGACCATTATTAGGTTCATCAAATACGTTGTTTTCCATGTTTTATGATGGATGTTCACCTAAATCCTATATATTCATATTTAAAAGTAACAAGAGGTTGGGAACAAGATGGCGGCATTTTCAATATAAACATATGGGATTTTTGAACCAATCAAAAATGAGACCGCAATTGTCGCCACTGTGGTAATAAAGTCACTGTATACGTGACGTCATCCAGATTCGCGCGCATTTAAGGTCGTTTGAAATGCTTTTAAGGGCGGGTATTATAAAACTTTCACCAAGTTATTATTGAGTTTTAGGGAATAATATTTGGGGAATACTCTTTCAAGGCATAAATAAATGATTTAAAAAAATAAAAAAAAATTGTAAAGTTCCCTATTCTATTTGACTGGCGTCATTGTGACGTCAGAATAATTCTATTTTTGAATAACAAATGTCAAAATAACGGTCGGAATAAAGCCTAGTACTCATAACTGCGAAATTCGCATTTTTTTGACATTGCTTCGACAATTTGACGTTTGATACACGCATAAACCGTCAAATTGTCAACGCAATGTCAAAAAAATGCGAATTTCGCAGTTATGAGTACTAGGCTTAACCGAGGAAAATAAAGGAAAATACTAGGAGTTTTCATTTGTTTCCGCTGAACGCTAGACTTCGTGCTCCGAACAGTTCTGTCCGGGACTGGACTGGATTTTTGAGTGTGCCCGAATGTATTCGCGTCTTTTTCTACCAACTTGTATAAGAAAGAGATGAAAGTACATTTTTTTTTTCTGCACAGTGGGTGCAATTTTCGTAAATTTCGTAAATTTGACTGCTCCCCATTTAATTTACATTGCTGTCAGTCAAATTTCGTGTACGAAATGTAAACTGTGTTTTTTTTTTAAAGATAAAAGTCAAAATGACATTATGTTGGCAATACAATGTAAAATTGTCAAATGCTTTCAAATTTTTATGTAGAAAAGGCTTGTGTTGCCAACATAGTTACTAAATTTTTGACTTGGGGAATTATCTTTAAAAAAAAAACAGACTTTACTCGAATGGTTTCGAAAATCGCATCCCAGGTTCTACCAATAGAATTCGATTAGATTTGTGTGACTGACTGGAGGTGTCATGACAAAAATAAGATAGAGTCATCTTTGGGTAACATCGAGTAGTAGAATTTTAAAATTGTCAATTTTTAGTTTGGTACTTATTTTCTATCCATTTTAATTTATGTATTTAATTTTAACGAAGGAGAAAACAACAAGTTTTAAAAATGCCGGAATTCCGATCTATTGAAGAAATTCCAGCGAAGTACAGATCTGTGTTTCAAGAATATCCATGTTTTAATGTTGTACAGTCAGAAGTGTTGAACGATGCCTTAAATACAGGTGAGCTCAAAAGTATCACACATCGGTATCACGATCACGTCTGTGTAGCCTTCTGGGATTCCCCATTTTATAAGAAAAATATTTGTTTGAAAAAATTTTCGGCTTAAATAGGCTAGTTTTTAGTTAGAAATAATGTATTCATTTGTAAATAATAAAAAAAATTTAAATCTTCTAAAGTTTCAGTTTACGAGAAAGGCATATTCGCCTATTTCATTATATTTAATAGCCTACTTATCTTACTATACATATTTCTTGAATAAGCAACCAATTCAATGTCTCAGAAGTGGATGTACTGTTATCAAATTATCAGTATGGTTTCGGTCACTTTCCCATGAAGAAATGTTGCATCATATATACTTTTTGGTTTAACGATAAGATGGCGAAGTCCTCAATGTTTATTGGCAAAGACACTAGAAACTATACATTTTGGTTTGGAGTTTGCCTATGAATGATCGGTTTAGGATGTCACTTGCAAAATTGGCCAGCAACCAACAGGTGTGTAATCGACTTTTGGACCGCCCGAGTGGATCAAGGTTTCCTTGGTCCTTTGCTAATATGTCATTGGCTAATTAATTTCACATCTTTTTCCTTTCCACGATGGAGGACCATGGCAGTGCGCCACACATGGGTTGTTACATGGGCAAAGTTGTATTTAGACCTGAAACAATTAGGAAAATTCTTCTGCAACTTGACACTAGGAAATCTCAACGGCATTCCACCAATTGTCCTCTAAACTTGTGCACAAGAATTGACTTCAGTTGTTTGCAAACTGTTTTCAAGTCGTTTTCCTACTGTCTATCTGGAAATGTGTCAGAGTACAGCCCATCCCGAAAAAGGGGAAGGAAACTTCCTAGCAATTATTGTCCCATCTCACTCAAATCTGTACTTTCCAAAGTAATGGAAACGGCAGTCAATCTAAACTAGTGAAATACCTCAAAGCTGATAACCTCATCTCTGATGAACAGTACAGAGTTCGTTCTAAACGATCAACAGGGGATGTGTTGAGTGTTGGGTCAGTCATTTTTGGAAATCGACTCTCGATAAACATAGCAAATCCAGAATTGTAGCAATGGACATCTCCAAGGCTTTTAATCAGGTGTGGCACAAAGATCTCCTCAACAAACTTCCATCATATGGTTTTTCAAATGCCAAAGCCCAGAGAGCTTTTTAGAAGGCAGTTTGTGGTTGATGGTGTGTCTTCTGATACACTGCCTGTAAATGCTGACGTTCCCCAAGGCTCAATTTTGTCCTGAATATTGTTTATCATTTTTATAAATGATTTGTGAAATGTGATAAGAAACCCCATATACAGGTTTGCGGAGGATAGTAGCTTGATGGCATTTTTGTCTTCTGACAAACTGCTTACTGCAGCCACTTCTACACGCCTCGCTCGATAACAGATTCACTCTATCAACAGTGATCAACATTACCAACTAGGGCCTTAACAACCTTTTTAGATTTAATGCTTCCAAAACTCAAGCCACAGTAGTCTCAAATAAGAAATCTTCCGCCGATTATAACCCAGTTTCTTCAAAGATGTCAGGACCACATCGACAAGCTTGTTTTGGCATGACCATGTATCTTTGATCAGTTCGATCGCCAAAACCGCTTCTCAAAAATTATGTTTTATTGAGAGAATAACTACTATGTAGATTGGTGACATAAACTCGAGTTGAATGCAATTCTTGCTCAAACTTCTTTTGCAGGTAACCAAATATTGAGCCAAATAACTAACTTGTGTATGATGCCCAGAAGCAATTGTCTCAAATGGAAATAAGTGACTATAACGTATGTGAAATGGGTACATTCAACTCCTCAAACACCTCCAGACAATTTTTTGTTCTTTTAAAAAATGTCTGTGCCTCAAACTTCAATCATCTCTGCTCCAATCTATCATCAATATGTAAAACCTAAATGTACATTTTGAATTGCAATCGCAGAGAAGGGCATAACTTAAATGTGGGAGGTTTGCACTTTGCAGACACCACCAATGCAGTGACTCATCAACCCTACCTAATTTAACTTTGGCTCCAATGCATTAATGCAATTGATTTTTTTTTTCAGATAATTCACTAGTAGTATCAGCACCAACTGGTTCAGGAAAAACTGCAATATTTGAGATGGCCATCATCCGACATTTAACACTTAATGAAACTGACCATAACACAATCAATAATAAAATAGTCTATAGTAAGAATCCTTTTACAGTCCAACTAATATTACATTAATTTCTCTTTTACCTTTTTCAGTTTCTCCCATGAAGGCTTTATGCCAAGAACGACTTGTAGATTGGCATAAAAAATTTGCAGATTTTAATGTACGTTGCATTTCGTTAACAAGTGATTCACCCGATGACATCGATATCAGAACTATAGCTCAATATAATTTATTAATATCGACACCAGAAAAATGGGACGTTATAACTAGAAGATGGCGAGAAAATATTCAATTAATGACCACTATAACTTTGTTTTTAATTGATGAGGTGCATTTGTTAAATGCAGACACTAGAGGGTCTACATTAGAAGTGATTGTAAATGACTCTTCAAAAAAAAAATAAAGGATTGACTTTTAAATCTTATTTTAGGTCAGTAGAATGAAAACAGCAATTACTGCATTAACTGCATACACAACAAAGTGGAATATTAGATTTGTTGCTTTATCAGCTACAATACCGAATGTTGAGGATGTTGCTGAATGGCTTGGGCCAACATCAGTTAAATACAAGTGAGTATTTTGAACTGCAAATGAAGTAGATACCGGAAGTGATAGTAACAGTGATTCTAGTATCTCCTTAAACAAATGTTTTTATAAGAAGAATAATGAACAAAATTTGACAGAGGTGCAGACTGGAACTGACAAAAGTTTTCGATGTTGGATATATTTTTCAAATCCACACGTTCTGTTTGAGGAAAATATACTACTAATATTGTTATTATTTGACAATAGTCTGTTTATCTATCTATTCAATTTTTAGATTCACAGAAGAAGTTAGACCAGTAAAATTGGATAAGATTGTTCTAGGATTCGCTTTTCATCCCCAAAATCAGTCGGTTTTCAAATTTGACATGACCTTAAATTATAAACTTCCATCTTTGATCTCTAAGTATTCAGAAGGCAAACCTACTTTGGTGAGTTTTTTTTATTTATTTTTTTCACATTGAATTACACTGGAATGTTTTAGATATTTTGTAATACAAGGAAAAGCGTCGAAATGACAGCACGACATTTGGTACAAAATTTGCAAGTTACCTTAAACCAAGAGCAAAAGCAAGATTTGATGAGTATTTCTCGACAGTTGAGCGACGTCAATTTGAGACAACAAATTGTACACGGTATAGCGTTCCATCATGCTGGATTAGTGCACGAAAATCGATATTTAATCGAAGAGTCTTTCAGAAAGGCACAAATTCCTGTTTTGGTAAAAAGATTCTTAACTTTTATTTAGATTTTGATTGCTAAATGATCTTCAGGTAACAACAAGTACTCTGGCGATGGGAGTTAATCTCCCAGCACATTTAGTTATAATAAAATCCACTAAATGTTACTGTGACAATGGGTATAAAGATTATGATGAAATGTCTATTTTTCAAATGATTGGAAGAGCTGGACGCAGTCAATTTGATGTTAGCGCCACCGCTCTAATTTTAACTAGTCTGCAAGATAAGGTACATATTCAGCCTTTAATTAGTCAGTGTAATAACATTTTAATTTCTAAGGTAAAATATGAAAAAATGCTTAGTTGCTCACAAACAATTGAATCCAATCTTCACAAACATTTAACAGAACATTTGAATGCCGAAGTGGTACTTAAAACTATCACAGATTTATGTGTGGCGATGAGGTGGCTATCGTCAACTTTTCTTTATGTTCGTGCTATAAGATCCCCGGAAAAATATAAATTTCCTTCTGGACTCACTAAAGAGAAGATTGACAAAAAATTACTGGGTAAGTTTACATCCTCAATATAAGCAACTTCTGCAAAGTCTCAATAATCTCAATAGAACTGTACCTATATTTATTTAAACAATGGGAGTTTCTTGGGGTATCGGTTGTTGTGCTCAATACCCCCAAGAAACTCCCATTGTTTATACATTCTCCGGTCAAGAAACTCTGTAAATATATTTATTTATGTAGATATGTGTCAACTAGATTTAAACAAACTAGTTGGAGCTGGTATGATTCAAATAAGTGAAGACATCGAGATTACTCCCACTATTGTGGGTGGAATAATGGCGAAATATTATGTAGCTTTTGAAACCATGAAGCTTTTTACTCAGGTAACTGGTTTTAAAATCTAATTTTTTTTATGGAAATTAAAATGTTTTTTCTAGATATCTGGCAATGAAATTTTAATACAAATCCTGGGAATAATTTCGAAATGTAAAGAGTTTTCAGAAATATATTTAAGAAACAATGACAAGAGATGTCTAAATACATTAAATAGGTGTTCCAAAACAGAATGCATAAGATATCCACTTAAAGGGCGAATCAAAACTTCTGACATGAAAGTCAATGTGATTATCCAAGCAATTTTAGGAAACTTGGATATTCATGATCAATCCATATTGTGTGATTCAGTTAGAATTATGCGAAGTTGTGAACGTTTGGCTAATTGTGAGTTGTTTCAGAAACAAATGTCAAATAATTTATTCAGAATCTTCTTTAGGCCTAATAGAATATCTGGAAACTAGAGACAAATGTTACAGTGCCCTACTAAACACCACTATACTAGCTAAATGTTTTCGAGTAAAACTTTGGGAAAATTCGCCTTACGTTTCCAAACAACTAACTGGAGTGGGACAAGTTATGTCTAGGTCACTCATGAAAGCTGGAAAAACCACTCTTAAAAAGCTTGCTGACACCAATCCAAGACATATTGAAATGGTTGGCATCTATCTTATTTTTAATCAATCAAAACCTACTAATGTATATTTTAGATTATTAGTAGAAGAGCACCTTTCGGCAATACTCTAGTAGATGAAGCAGTACATCTCCCAGACTACACTATGACGTTAGAAAAGTGCGGAAAGGATGCTGAATTATGCATAATTTTACACAATCCTAGTCAAATAGAAGAAAAATGCACCATTAGTCTAAATTCTAAAATGACTTTGCTGGTCGGGGACAGCAACCATAATATTTTAGTATATGAGAAATATGAGTAAGTTGATCTTTGTTATTTGTGTGTCTTATTTAGCCAGATAACTAATTATTAATTGTGATAATTGTAATACATAATATTCTATACAACTAATAGTTTAACTTTTTATAGGCATTCCTACATGGTGGAAAACCCCCAAGTGAGGCAGAAAATCTCAATGGATATTAAAAATGTAGAATATGTTAAAGCAAATTTTATCAGTGAAAATTATGGTACCATATTATTTTTTTTATCTTTCAAAATCTAAGTATATTATTTTTAGTTGGTATTGACTGTTTTGCTTACTGTTACTTTGAACCTATAGTTGATGATCAAAATCAGACCATCGCTAAAACTCCAAAGAAGATCCAACAAACTTTTATGAATTCTTATATGAAGTGTGTTAAAAGGCCACAACCATTTATAGAGGTACCTATTTAATTTTTTTTTTGGTTTGATAATTTTTAAATCGGGCATTTTTTTAGGTTGCAAGCAACAAAAATAAGTCTGAAATTGTCAACACTGATAGTAATATCAAATCCATTGAAGAAAATAAGCATATAAATTTACCAGAGAAAAAAAAGACATTTCATTTCAGAAACAATAAAGAAGTTGCAGGATCTAGAATATCACCTGTAAATAAAGAGACGCAAATTGTAGATCCGGCAAAACCAGTCAACTATAGTTTTGCCACAAAAGATTCAAAATGTGATGAAAACTCTTTAAAAACACCGAAAAAGAAATATTATGTTTCAAAAAATCTGTCCAACAAAACTGGATCTATTAATAAACATGATTCACTTTTATCAGAATCCTTTACCAATGCAATAATAGCCGAACTGGAATCTGATAAGCTGGCTATAGAAGCTGGAGATGAAGCTAATTTTAATGAAGGTAATAAAGGGATAATAGAAATTTTCTGTAGAAATATAGCAAATGCTGAAAGTACTGTTTAGATGTAAATATATTTTAATGCAACCATGAAGACCAAACATGAGCTTTGAATTTCTTTCTTGTGTTTATGCAAAATTCAAGTCAGCGAATAATTACATTGTAGTTTTACTCACGTCAAAACTGGTATTACAATTAAATGTTCCAGTATAGGTACCCTCCTCTATAATAATTAAATACTGAGGTCAAACTACGAAGTATATAAGGTTTCTAAATTAAAATCTAGATATGATAATACAACCCAAAACAAGATCCTCCAAAAATACATAAAATACAACTACCAGTTCAAACATCCAATAGGTACACCATAAGTTCTACTTTTGGTTGATAAATTTTAGTCAATGTAAGTATAAATCAGAAAATCCACATCAGATAACGCATTTACAGTTACAATTCTTTCAATTGAAGAAGTATTTATCTAAGTCTCTCAGTTCCATTGGAATTTTGTTGTGAAATAACGGTCCATAGTCATAATAGGTAATTTTTCTCGTTAGATAAATAAATACACCTATATATTTAGAATTATTTGATATATTCAGGGAAAAGGTCAAAATTTAATAATCTGAAATGATATTTTCAATTTCACTACATTCTTTGAAATACTTTTTTTCTGTTACACTGTTGATTTCGTTCAATTTTGTAGATTCTGATATAACTGAAACTAGAGCTCATGAATACAATAAAAACGAAGTAGTACCAGTTGAAAAGGACGTACCTATGCAGACAACTGAAGATGTAAATTATAGACCTAATGATGGTCAGCTTGCTACAAAACTTGGGCAGAATAAAGTCACAGAAATCCAGAAACAAGAAAACTTGTCAAAGGTAATAGAATCAAAATCATACTTTTCCATAAAAATTTATCTGAAGATTTATCAAAAACTGAATCAGCTACTGATTATTTAGGCCCTGTTATCAGTAACTACTGTACTGCTGGGTCGGCTCTAAATTTCTACAAGATTCGATCCTGAATTCCCTAATCAACTATTTAAGCTACCGCGCGGAGCATCTTTGGTGACGTCACATGGTGCTCAACAGATAAATTCTATTTCGGGCGTTCTTTTTTTTAATTCTTGACTATGGTCATGAAAATTCAATATGGCGGCAAAAGTCGAACATATGTGATGTTTGTCTATATAGGTCTGTTCCAGGCTGTTCTCACCATTGAGGTTCTCACAGACATCATAAACTAGTCAGAGCGAATTTCATTAGTTGAAAAGAGACAGAAAACTGTTTGTTGGCGATTTGCACCAATCAAAAACGGTCTGACTGGCTTACGATTTCTGTGAGAACAGACCTATAGTTTTTTTTTCGGTTTTTGAAGTGAAACTTCTATGCAGTGGTCTGATATTTTGACGACAATCAATGGAGAGTGATTTGAAATAGGCGTCACGTTTTGGCAAATTTCGTTACACGAGAGAGAAGAAAGATATAAGGTAGAGAGATGGAGAAACACAACCAATGACAATGACAGCCGACGAACGGGATTATGAGCAAAGAGGATTGCCTATTATTGTCGATCGTCGTCAGCGTCGATACCCCTATAATGTCACTACAGATGCGCGTCTCTCTTTTGTGTGGTCCTTCGTCTTTATCCCCCTCATACGCTAAGTCTAAAAGTTGTATGAAGGGGGAATAGTTTTTGAAATGGAACTTCTTAGATAGCGGTCTGGTATTTGGCCCATTTCGTTACACGAGAGAGATAAAATATATAACTGTATTATTGTCTAATACACAGTTCCGGCTATCCGCATCCGCGTCTCCCTTTTGTGCGGTCCTTCGTGTTCAACCCCCACTCGTGCGTTAAGTCCAAAGTCTCAGTTGCTCAAAGGGGGAACAGTTCATCCAACGATGACTAGAGAGGCCACTTTTTTGACTCTATCTGTACTTTTATGAAAAATCTGAAATAGCTATCTTGTCAGTTTTTCCCGCCGAATACAAACATTATTGAAAAACAATTCAATCATCATTTTCGGATTCAGTGAGAAAATTTATATAAGATGGCTTTTTCAGATTTTTTATAAAAGTACAGATAACCCTGTACAAGCAAGCGCGAGCCACACTGAATAATAGGCAATAGAAAAGGATAGAGAGAGTATGTACAACTCTGTTGCCACAGGAGTAGAGCAAGAGAGAGTGACGTATACACTTAATATGAAACAATAAAAGTTTCACTCTCCGGTGCTGCACATGATTTTTTATTTTACAACTACAATAGTCAGTCATTGGTAGTCATGGGTAGTCATTCTCGTGTTTTGTGGTTAGTTTGGGTTAGTTTTTATCAGTTCTTCCATTTTTCTGCTTATTAGAAATAATTTTCCCATTGTGGCTAAATTCAGCTGGTGTAGGCACCGTGGTGGAATGAACCTTGGGTGGAATGGTAGAGAAAGCAGTGTTGTTAAATTAAATAGGATTTGGCAAGCTGAGGTTTGGCATTAACATTATAGGCAATTTTTCGCGAGGATAATCAAGCCTAATCTTATGCTGGATTATGTGATGTGTAATTGTGTTGTAATGACCCGGGAAACTAGACCCGTAATTTACATTGTCTTTACTGTAAAAATTAAATGTAATCAAATAATCAAAAACTGAATTTCCTGTATTTCAAATCAGTATCTATAAATTGAAAGACGATGAAACAAATTAGTATTGTCCCAAATTAATTAAAATATTTATATCGGTACGTCCAAATTTTAAACAAGCCATCAGTGACCAAGCACGTGTCATCATTTGAACTCGTAAATAAGAACCCAGAAAAGATCAATTACAAGGTTAAGCACCTAATTAAATTGGACGCAAAATGACAAAAATTTCGAACAGATTGCATCATCCTCTAAAATGATGAAATTAATATTTGGAATAACATCTAAATAGGTCGACCAATAAGATTGAAATATAGATGGTCAAACGACCGCCTATTGTCGATTTTGGTAGGTAATTAATAATATTTTGGGAGGAATCGAAAAGTATAAATACAGGGATTTTAGAAGAATCAATGCAAAGAGTTTCTTTTATTTTTGCCTCGGGAAAACGCGTTAAATCTTTGAAAACTAACTAAAATTTGTGAAAGAAAGACCATTCAAATGCGTTCAACATTATGTGCGAGCTCTAAAGATTTTGAAATAAATTAATTAAATAATTTTTCGAGTGAAAAGTTAAATGTAAGTACTCTGGTGACTAGTAAAACTTTTTGACTTTATGATGATTGACTATGAAGTGAATTAACTTTGGAACTTTATTGCATAAATATTAATAACTCGAGTGTTTTGACTATGGAACATTATTGCATAAATTTAATTGCTTTGAGTGAATTGACATTTCTCTTAATTTTGCAAAGAGTTTAACATGGGAAATTATAATGCATTTAACAACATTCGATTTTGAGTAGGAATTATTAAAGAATGTTAAATTGGATTGTCCAATTGAAGTTTAAGGGCTATAGTAACGAACTAATAAGAATTAAATAATTGTGTTTGTTATCTAGGAATCCGAGTATAGTAATTGTTCTGTTAAAAATGATCCTTAGTGAAGGATGGGAACCACTAAAAGTAAAAGAATAAATCATTAAAAATATGGGAAAATTTTGTTTGAAACTTGTTGTTCATAAAGTACCATTGATGACCTGAAGTACTGAAATTTTGAATTAGGGTTTTTTCATTTAGAAATGTTTGTAAGATTTTTATAAAAATATAGTTGGTAATACATAGGTATATACTTAATCCAGTGAGTAGGATTACGACTTAAATAATTATTCTGCATAAGCTGTCAGTAAATGACTTAGGAGTTTTAAGAATTTATAGGTATGGGTGAAGGTTAGTTTTAATGGGAATGTGAATCGGAAGTGTTGTTTAAAAGAGTAAATGTATACACTTATAAATTATTATTAAGAATAGAAGAAGTAGGGCGTTTTTAGTCTGGATATTTCCTGGTCCGTAGCTCCGTAGTAATGAAATTTGAACGGATGTGAAATAACTTGATTTGGGAAAAATAGAAGTGGCTGTCAGACATAGAAAGATATTTGCTTTATTTTAATTTTGGTTTTAAGTATAATAAAATATAATTTAGTAAACCTCAATAGTTTGTTTCTCCCTTTTGCGAAAAGACCCCCTCCACTTGCTTGCTTGCCATTTACCATCTAACTAATCAAATAGAGTACTTAAGTGCGTTTTGCTACAGTGTCATACTCAATGAAGTAGTAAAGTCTGTTTTTTTTTTTTTAAGATAATTCCCCAAGTCAAAAATTTACTATGTTGGCAACACAAGCCTTTTCTACATAAAAAACTTGGAAGCTTGACAATTTTACATTGTATTGCCAACATAATGTCATTTTGACTTTTACCTTTAAAAAAAAAACAGACTTTAGGAAGGTTTGAACGTGTCATTCAAATCATTCCAGAGATAGCGCTAGTAAGGGCAGGAAAATCCAATGAACTATAAACCAGAGATGGGCATCTACGCGTAAACAAAGATTGTCTACGTCTGGTGTAAACAACGCGTAGACAATGTAAACTATGTAATCTATGTAGACAACGTGTAAAATATGTAGACAACGCGTAAAGTATACAATTTCTAACAGTTGGCAGGCCTTTAAGGTTATGTTTCTGTTTTTGCTTTGTATTGTTTATTATTGCTTTGTAAAGTTAAATAAACCGCAGGTAATATCTAATTTGATACAATATAAATTTAATGCAATGCAAACTTTCAAAAAAATTACTCAAATTTCAAATTTTCTGGGGTCTACATTGTCTACATAGTTTACATCAGAGATGGGCATCTACGCGTAAACAAAGATTGTCTACGTCTGGTGTAAACAACGCGTAGACAATGTAAACTATGTAATCTATGTAGACAACGTGTAAAATATGTAGACAACGCGTAAAGTATACAATTTTTGACAGTTGATAGGTCTTTAAGGTTATGTTTCTGTTTTTGCTTTGTTTTGTTTTTTGCTTCGTAATGTTAATTAAACTGCAGCTAATGTCTAATTTGATACAATATAAATTTAATGCAATGCAAACTTTCAAAAAAATTACTCAATTTTCAAATTTTCTGTTGTCTACATTGTCTACATAGTTTACTTAGTCTACATGGAAAAAATTGGATGTAAACAATACGTAGACAACGAGTAGACAAACCGCGTAAAGTAGATTTCATAGTCTACGGTACATCCCTGCTATAAACTACACGTATCTAGAATGGCACCGACCGTTGTCGTATATGGCATCTCTCTTAGTGCGTCCAAAAACGCTACATAGTGGGGGATACCTTTGATGTCAGGTTTGGTATATTCCTAACCACAAATATAATATTTTTTAGACAAGGCAAGCTTTCTATAATTCGCCAATAAGATAAATAGAGATAGGTATTCCCCACATTCTCCATCTCAATTTTTCGCAAATTTATAGATCGGCGGGCCGTTCCAGGTACGTGTAGTTTATAGTTCATTGGGAAAATCTCACGGATCTCTCCTGTTCTCTCACTCTAATTTTGGCCGCAAATATACGTCATACGTATTGAGTAGATAGGGTCATTCCAAACCTTCTTACTACGTCATTGGTCATACTCCCCTAACTCCCCCAACATCAAATTCTGGGATACTCGAGGATGAAGAACACTTAATTTATTCTGCGAGAACACACCGAAAATCACCTTTTCTACATTTGAAATCGACGAAAAATTAACTCACTAGCACAGCCTTAATCGCAAGCATTCCACAGATTATGCTTGGTTATCCTCGCAAAAAATTGCCTATTACTTAATCGCTCACCAAATCCGTGGTGGTGCAACCAGTGAATCACCAGCAGTGAAATGTATCACGCCTGAGGCAAATTTTTAATGGAGTAAAAGGGTTGGCCCGTTTTTGTCTTACGCATTCTTAAACAAGGCTAGGTGGATTTATTATGCCCCACCATTGCTCGTAAACATTTACGTGTGCGACAGAGCAAACAGCCCCTTTTATTGCCGTTCTCACTACCATAAAATTTGCCTCAAAAATGGACATTGAAAGCAGCTGTTAAGGATTGGCTGTAGGTCCGTTCCAGCTACGTGTAGTACCTATAAATGACCTATATACATAGGCCGAGTTCGTTTTTGTCATCTTTTTCGTCGAGTTGCTCCGAAACTTTGACAGGCACGTGACTGGATAAGACAGTTTCAGTTTACGAATCCTCATAAGGCCTGTGTAGAACAAATATGAATTGCCCCACCACGCCAAATCACCAGTTGTGACGTAGACAGCATGTCTTTTCTCGCCTTGACGTAAGCTGTTTGCACCACAGGTTATGATTCCGTGGGCTTTTGCTTTCTGCATACTTGATTTTACTACATTAATTAACATTCTAAAACAACCATTTTTTACATCTCGTTTGCATCTTAAGTAAATTAAGTAATATTTTTCATCATAAATTTAAATTCTAAACTGGGACCGCTGGCGCAAACGCCCCAACCGCTGGCCGATAAGCAATCCTTATTAGTAGTGTGTATTATCCTTCGGATTATTAGGGATCTTTTCGCGAGGATAATCCAGCATAATCTTACGCTGGATTATGTGATGTGTCAATTGTGTCATACTGAACGAAGTAGTAGGAAGGTTTGGAATGGGCTTTGCGTCATTCAAATGATTCCAGAATGAGATAGCGCTATAGTAAGCGCAGGGAAATCTCACGGATCTCTCCTGTTCCCTCACTCTAATCTCGGCCGCAAATATACATCATACGTATTGAGTACATAGGCAAGGGGTTATTCCAAACCTTCTTACTACTTCATTGGTCATACTCCCCTAACTTCCCACCATCAAATTCTGGGATATAGGATTTTTACGCTATATTTAGGATGACGTCACATTTAGTAAATTTCTGCTGCCAATCTAACAAAACTAAAAGTACTTTTTAACGCATTTAAAGTAGGAAAATTTCAGATGTTTTTGGTTGGCAACTGCGCGCGATGTTACATGACTTGTAAAAACATTTTCATTTCGTTATTTTTAGCTGTCGTCAGCTTGACACTTAACATTTTGGTAAATTATAAAAAAAAAAAAAAGCATTAACAACATTGTCTGTCTTTGTTCGATGACGTCATCCTAAATATAACATAAAAAACCTATACTTGAGGATGAAGAACACTTAATTTCTTCTGAGCAGACCGAAAATCAACTTTTCTACATTTAAAATCGACGAAAAATTGACTCAGTAGCACAGCCTGAATCGCGAGCATTCCGCCCAGGTCTGCGGGTGACGTCATCATTATAATCTGCTGCTAGTGACGTCACTCGCAGGTCTAATGAAAGCTGTTTTTTCTCTATATCCATCTTGATAAACTAAACAATGGAGATTGGAAATATTTTAGTATTTTACTTTCAGGAAAACTTACTACAGTACAGACACGCATAGAAGAAACCCGGTTACTTTTTCTTTAATCAAAACTTAGAAACTTATTAAAAAATCAATTCAAGCAACAACGGTAAATACAATACAACAGAAAACGATCCACCCACTGGTAGGTGAAAGTTGAATGGTAAAAAAAGCTAAAATTGGTAAATACCAAGCCGTTCAAGCGGTTACTATTGTGTGACGACCAGAGAAAAACCCCAGTAAATACCATTTTATTATGGTCATTCGCTTGAAATGGGCTCATAGGTCCTACGACGGCGCAAATTTCATTTCTTCTTGCTTGACTGTGGCCGCCATTTTGATTGTATTGATAACGTAATATCTTTGCTACATAAGTTTAAAATCGCAACTGTCAACTGATAAAACAAGTAACTAGAAAGGACACGGCAAGTAACATTACGTAGAAAAATTTAAATTATTTGTGGTCCTATAAAAGTTAACTTAATTTTCATGTCGCGATACACTAAAATCAATGAAATCTATTTTGTATCTAATCCTAATCTGTCATTGTTGTAAATTGACGGCGCCTATAAAAGAGTTTTGACTAGTAGACTATGGATTTTTCCAAAAGCAGCTGTCAATTTTTCAAACTATTGGCAGTCACTGCGACTGTTTTATAGGTTTACAGCAACAAACCTAATAAATTTTTCGTTACGGCTGCGCTAATGACGTAAAAATTCAAAATTGATGAAACTCGTCGTTTCTTGTGTTTACCAATAAGCAATGTTAAATTATTATCGAAAAAAAAGATGGGAAACTGTGGTATGTAAACATAAATGTGTAATTTGATTATTTTATAATTACAATAAATATTTAATAAGGTAAATTTTATGTCGTTTTGCGTCCAATTTAATTCTCATTGAAGTAGTAGTATTTCAGGGCTAACCACTTGTTTTGTTAAGAACTGTGAATACTGTGATAAGGTTTATAACGTTCAGAAAACAATTTAATACCTTTCAGGTGAACACTGAATTAAAATAGTGCTAGCAGGGTGTTTTGAAACTACAACTTTCATAAATATTCTTCCCCAAGGAATTATAAACAACTTGCTGCCAGCATATTACTTGCAGGGCAGGCAATAGGTTATTCAGTAGTTTTTGGTACATATTTAGTTTATAAGTGAGCCAAGAAGTGGTTTTTTTTTTTCGGAGCTGAATGGCATGCAACATTTTTTCTTCATCAAGGGTTATTACACTATTTCCTTTCACAACAATCATTGCTTTTTTCATTTATTTGCCGAAAAATAAATAACCCTCGTAGCTGCCACTATAAATTAATATGTATTTGTTAACTTCAAATTTCAAATCATTATTTGGTCACTCGGAACACATTTTACTGCTCCGAACATGGAGGTTCGTGTAAAGCGAGCAGACCTGAACTCGGTCGTTGACACTGCCATCTATCGAGAAGAAAACGCAAAATTAATTACAAGCACATTATAGCGTTCATCGACACTGCTGCCTCTAGCAAGAAAAAAACGAACAACTCACCCCATACATAAAAAGTTTTATGTCCGATTGACCAATAAAGTGCTATTTATAGAACAGTTTTGCGTCAATAAAGTAGCACTTTATTTTACTAGTAAAATAAAGTGCTACTTTATTTTACTAGTAAAATAAAGTGCTACTTTATTGCCTACCAGGGCTGCGTTCAGGAATGGCTATAGCCAAGCCAAAATTGGCATTTTGCGTTCGAGTTCGGCTCCAACCTACGTGGTTTGGCATTACAGGTGGAGGGGGAAAAGTAGGTTTTGGCATTAGCATTGCCGTCCTTGAACGTACCCCTGGACTACCTGATAAGGTGAAACAGGTCCTGACAACCTGCCAAAGTGAAACAGGTCTTGACAACCTGCCAAGGTGAAACAGGTATACCTACGCGAATTTTACTTTTTTCATTCAATTTTTTTAATTTTTAACGAAAACCAGTCAGAATCGTACATAAAATCATGTATATAACGCTTACATAAACAGGCTTTATTGACTCATTATTTAATAGCCTCGCTCACAAGCTCGCTCGGCCATAAAATTATTCATACAATAAAGCCTTACTTTATGTACTTGTTATATAAATAGCTATTTTTGTGTTCCTAGGAACATAATTGAATCACTTCTGTGTCGAGTGTAGACCACTTGAAGATAAAACAATGTATTCTACGGATCTACCTACACATTATTGAAATTTAAAATGTAAATTTTCATATACCTATATACATATTTTTTTGTTGATTCAGGTCGAATGGATCTATAAAATGTTTAATAATTATTAATGAACTTTGAAGCTAATTTATTATGTTTAGATGAACGTTCCTGACAGCACATATGAACGAAACAAGCCACAATCAATTACCATATTTTCTCCTCATCCAAAAAGAGTAAAAAAACATGAAGAATATACTCCAAGCTTTGCTGAAACTCCCCAAAAAAATATCAAGTGGCGATCTCCATTGGTGACCTCTCCAGCTGTTAAATATTCACCCACCAATCTTTATGATTTTCCAATACCCAGAGCTGGCAAGGAAGTTGATCATAATGACTTCCGAGATGGGTAATAAAATTCCTTTACTTTATTACAAAATTATGCATCCATTTGAATTTCAGGGCACACAATACGAGCATGTCCAGTCTGGCTTCGTCTTTCGCTTCAGAACGCATTAACAGTTCCACATCAGTGAAATCAGTAAAGAGAAAATCCAAATTTCAGTTTCCGTTGAGTGATCATGATTGTTTGGAGGAAACGAATTATAATCCATCTACCAAAAGAGGCAATGCGTTTGATGAATTTGTCGATTTGGAACAATATGGTATAGCTAATAGGCAAAAAGAATCAATTACTCAGTCGTCCCATGCAGGAAAGTATTACAGTCAGTTAATGAATTCTGAGCCAGAAAAGTCTGGAGCTAAAGAGGAGCCTTCTACTAAGATTATTTCATCAACATCGCAAAGCAAACCTACATCAAATACTCAGGATTTTCAGCAATCTCAAGATTTATATTCGGATAATGATTTTTTGTCTCAGGAAACTCACCAAGTGGCCAAATCACGTGCTGATTTTGTTCCCGATACCCATGAACCTAAATCTATCACTAATGTATCACCATTTACTCAGCCAACACCCATAGCATATCAACATCATCCTGAAATTAATTTGAACAATGTTTCAAGGGATAATTTTGAATATTATCCTCAGAGAAATCCCGAAATTGATCTTTTAAATAGATCTTTCATTGAGCCTCCAAATAATTATCAACACTCTGATTTTGAAGATTATCATCGACAAACACCTTTATTTGATTCCCAAAGACCTTCATTTGATTCCCAAAGACCTTTATTTGATTTCCAAAGGCCTTCATTTGAATCTCAAAGACCTACATTTGATTCCCAAAGACCTTTATTTGATTCCCAGAGACCTTTATTTGATTCCCCCCAAAGATATGCGCCAAGAGTGTGCTCATATTTTTCTCAACAGCAGCCTTGCTTCAGTGTTCCAAGCACGTTTCCTCATCACGTGTGCTGTAATCATTATCCAAGAATGAATCATTATTGTAAACCTTACCCTGATTCTATACCTGAATTGATTCCTTATCGCAGTTACGTTGAAAATAGAAACTTGCATCATACTCGTCCATATACCATTTCTATTAATGATATTCCAGATTCTTGCATTGATCACTTTTCGCAACAATTGGATGAGCCAAGCTTCGTTGTGAACAATAATCCTGCTAATAATTTCGTAGAAAATGTTCCGAGATATGATGCTAGTGGATTCAATTGTGAATCAACTTCTTTGGCTTATCAAAATAAGGAGAATATTTTCAAACCACAATCGCAAAGTTATGCGCCATCCTATCGTCGAGCACAATCGACACCAGAAAATCAATTGCCCACCCAAATTTCGAAAGAAAATGTCAGCAAACTGTTTGCTACTTCTAGCAGGCGGAAACTTTCTCACCATGATAGTCGTGAAGCTACACGACCACAATCGCTTCATTTGTTGGCACAAAGTGCCCAGAGGCGATCAGTAAACTTTAATAGTGTTGAAGAGAGACATAATAATAGTATGATTGAACCTCATGGGGAAACTTATAGATTTTCTTCCAGTCGGAATCCGAACTCTGTTCAGTATGGTTCAATGCTGTCTAATGATAACAGGGAGTATTTGCCAGATAGGTTTAGGGGATTTAGAAAGTAATGTTCTTATTAAAAATATTGTTTTTATGTTTTTCAACCATGTTTTGTTATTCATCATCATCATTATTATAGAATTAATCATTGTTGTTCAGATTTCCATTTTTGACTATAGCTTTTACCAAAGGACCCTAATTTTTTTTACAGATTTTAGTTAACTAGTTATTTATTGTTACTTACGATAGCGGCTCGACTCACGCAGCCTAATAATACCATCGATACTGATATGGTAAGTCAGCTTAGTGTTCAATGCCATCTAATGGTGACAAAGAGTTTTTGTCAAATTCTTTTTAGTTGTTTATTTTTTATGTAGTTATAAGTAATTTAGAAAATAATCATTGTTTCTATTAAACTTACTGTTTTTGAGTGTAAGCCAAGGTCATTCAATTATAAGTTGGATAATTTAAAAACGATAACAAGTTATCAGCTTTTCTTATACTAAATAGAATTACCCTTGTTCAGATTTTCATGTTATAGTTAAACTGTTACCAGACATTTGTTAACTTGAGAAGAAAGAACTAGTCATTAATTGATAGTATTTTAGTTATTTATTCTTGTTAACTTTATTTGTTTCTGTTTAAAAAATTAAAAAATAAAAAAAAAAATAACTTAATTTATTTTAAATATTTTTGATAGAATGAAAGTTTATTGTTTTATATATTATGTTAGATGTTTGTTGAATTTTATTCTTTTTACAATAATTCCCTATTACCAATTTTCGTTTGGTACATAAAGGGTCTGTTCTAGATTTCCGTTTGGTACATAACAGGTGTGCCTCCAATGAAACAGTATGGTACAACAACACAATCTTCTGACTATTTAGAGCTTACTCAAGCCAACAATTATTTTAGGAATTTTTTGCCCTGTGTCATAAAATTCGAAATTCTTGAATGATAGGGCGGATCCTTAGATCCCACAACACTGTATGCGTATCGTTTTCCGATGGATTTTTATTTATAGGTATTATATTGATTGGTATGGTATGCTTGGCATACGTTTTAGTTTTTTCCAATAAGAAACCATTAGTTATGTGGTTAATAGTTCAATGAAAGTTATCATGTGCCCTTATTTATTATTTGGAATATCAAAATTTATATACAAAAATCAAAACTTCAATTCTCTAGCTGGCAATAGTTGTCCAACACAACTACCAAATCCAACATTATAGCCATCACCTTCGCAGACACCTTTCATTGTAACTGTATCTCCATCCTGGAGGAACTTCCTTTTGGTTCCATCTTGAAGGGTCAATGGTTTGGTTCCTTTCCATGACAGTTCTAGAAGGCTTCCAAATGAATCAGAAGTCTAAAAAAAATGTTCCAATCAAATAAAGAACTTAAAGAAGCTTATAAGAGGATGTAGAATCTTTTAATTGATGCAAAAATTTTTGTTAATAATTTTTCATAACTTGTCAAAAAGTTCTTACTTCTCCACTGATAGTACCACTTCCCATCAAATCTCCAGGATTCACGTTACATCCAGTAATAGTATGGTGTGCCAGTTGTTGTTTTGCTGTCCAATATAAATATTTAAAGTTGGAGCGACAGACGGTGGTTGAAACAGGAGAATCTTTTGCTGAAATGGACATTGAATAAATAAAATAACTAAAAACATATCGAGGGCTTACGAGTAATATCCACTTGAAGGCTAATATCAAAATTAAAATTATCCGAATGCTTAAGATATGGAAAAGGTTCTGGATCCTGCGGGAAATTATCGACTATAAACGGTTCTAAAGCAAGAGTGGTTACCACCCAAGGCGATATGGTGGTACCGAGATTTTTTGCAGTGAAAGGACCAAGAGGAACATATTCCCATTTTTGAATATCTCTAGCTAAAAAATTAGTAAATAATATTGTCTATTAGTCAATGTAGGTAAATTATTACCGCTCCAATCGTTCATTACAACAAATCCAAATATATGCTTGTGCGCATTTTGTGCGCTTATAGGTTCCCCTAATTTGTTGGAGCCTCCAACGAAAAATGCCATTTCCAATTCAAAATCCATAAGTTTAGAGGTGCCAAATACTGGAGGTGCCCCATCAATTACTAAAGTTTGTCCATGCGGTCTGTGGATAGGTGTTCCAGAAATTACCACTGAACTTGCTCGGCCATGATATCCTACTGGTATGTATTTCCTGGAAATATTCCATTTATAGTTAATTCAGTTTTATTGAAGGAACTCTTACCAGTTTGGCATTAAAGCATTATTTTTGTCCCTGAACATAATTCCAACATTGGTAGCATGATGGATTGAAGAATAGAAATCTGTGTAATCTCCTATGGTGGCTGGTAAGTGCATTTTTGCTTCTGATTGTAGAATAAAGGCCCTGTAATAATAAAATACCATTTTTTAGTTGAGATATTCATATTTTATCGAAAATTATATACCTTTCTCTCAGTTCAGCATTATCTCTTAAAGTTGGTTCGTCTATGGATAAAAGTTGTTGAAGTTGTTGCCGAGCTTCTTTCCACTCTGGAAGTCCAAGGGCCATAAATGCATTCAGTGTTTCCTGATTTTACCAAGTGTTAATGTAAGAAATAAGGTATACTTAATTGAATCCAGAACAATACAACAGTACTATACCTACGCAAAATGAATTTAATTGATGCTCTTAGACTAAAATCACTGGCAAAGAAATAATTTTTTGTAGGAATTTCGAATATCTGTGGCGACTATAATAATATTTTAATTATTAGGTAGATACTTACTTCCTTGAAGACATGTTGTTTGTCTTTTAATAATGGCCCATTGAAGAGGTGAGCTACTTCGTATAGGCTTAGGATGTAATCTCCAATGGCAATGCCCACTTTTGGAACCAACTATAAATTAATTAAGACTGTTGAAGAAATTGAAAAAACCTACCAAAATAGTATAGTGGATGTCTGAAATTTCATTCTTGAAACAGGGTTTCCCTATTTAGAGAATTGGGTTCCAGATCTTCCTGGTGCAAAGAGAATGAAAATCTTATTTATTTTTTATAGTCAAGTATCTCAAATATCCTTTATTTTCTTAGCAGAATGGCGAAGGCTTTTTAAGCTGAATTTGATCAATATTGGAGAAGGCGCAAGTATTGTTCAATGTGGATTTATATTGTTTTTCAAGTTTTTAATACTTATTTTTGTTTTGATTGGTTATCAAATTATTAAGCATCGCATCGGTTACTTACGTCACTTGCTGTTGAAAAAACTCCATAAGGTAAATTTTCAATGGGAAAATCACAATATTTGGAATATTGAATAAAACTCATATTTCTAGTATTTGTTGTATAAATGCACAGTAACAAAAATGCGAGATGTGAGGTTAAACAAGCGTTGTTCCCTACTAGGATAGGATGTTGTTTACTTGTTTGGTTGTTTTTGTTTTACATATCCATATCATTATCATAACGAGTTCTTTAAATATTTAATTAATGTAAATATAGTGGAATCCGGTTGTTTATGTAAAACGCAATCTCAATAGGTAAGTATTCAATTTATTCATGATTGTTAATGGAAATAATACCTACCGCTTATCGAACCTGAGATGTAGGTACCTACACTCTTTATCACATCTACTATTCCGATTTTGGATAATCCAACAGGTTTTCATCATATTTTATCAATAACTCAAAAATACAGGGTATTCCATTTAAAACGAAACAGGCTAAATATCTGATGCCACGTTTTTTTTTTTTTTAAATCGCTGGTACACGTAATTTGATTTTTAAAGGGGGAAGCTCGGGGGGACCATTTTTAGCACTTCAACTTTAACCCTCTAGATGGAGTGGGACCAATCCTTAGTATTTTAAATGGAACAAGGGGTCGAGTGATACCTCTTCTAAAAGAGCATTCAATTCTCTTTCATTTGATGTCATTTGAAACAAAATTGAACGGTCTTCTAAAACAGATATCACTCGACCCCCTGTTCCATTTGGAATGGTAAGGGTTAGTCCCGCCCCCCCTAGAGGGTTAAGTTAGTGCTGAAAATGTTTCAAATACTCACACAATCAAATTAGGTATACGAGCGATTTAAAAAATAAATAAAAGTGGCATCAGATATTTTGTCTATTTCGTTTTAAATGGTATACCCTGTATATCGCGAGAGATGACGATTCTTTATTGTACATACAGGGTGAGTCACTATATTTAGACACCCACCTGCAGCCGTAATTACAGGTGATAGGTAAAAAGTGTAAATACAAAAGTTGTAGCTTTTTATCTGAACCGCCAGAATTTTTAATTAGATGGAACAAATGAGCAAGACAAAGTGGAAAAATATGCCAATGTTCACTTTTTTCAAATGGAATGCACTTTATTTTCTTTCAAATTCTTAAAGTTCTCGTTTTTCTGATTCAGATTATATAGGGTCAACTGGGGTAAATGTAAATGGGGGTAACTGTAAACGCAGGTATTTTTAGTTTTAAATTTGGCGTTTTGAACGAATGGCCGCCATAATACATTACATACATCCCACACATGACCACTCCAACAAATTCGGCTTCCCGGCATCCATTGTTCAGTCTGATATTACTGCTTTATGCAACAGGTGCAAATATTTTGAAAATAAAAGTGAAGTAAAGTGCAATATTGATAAATTTTCAAATTAATTAAAGGTATGTATCAATTAAATTATGTTACTGGGCTTTGTGAAGGTCCATTATTTATCGTAATTTGTTAATATATTGTAAAACTTTGTTTATATTGCTGTTAAAAAAGCGTTTACTTTCACCCCAGTGGTGACTGGCTTTGGGTAAATGTAAACGCGGATTTGGGGTAAATGTAAATAGGTCTATTTAGTCTAAAATTAACAAAAACCTAAAAATTATGTCCTTTTTTTGTTTAAGATGCCTAGAAATTATATTTAAAAGACCAATGGTCCTTCATACACACAACAAGATTTACAACGAGCCATAGAAGACATCCAAAATCGTAATAAAACATGCCGACAAGCTCAGGCTTTTTATGGCGTTCCCATTGCTGTTATTTGCCAAAGAGTCTCTGGAAATAGAAGGACTGCCATAGATTGTATTTTTCATTGGTATTTTCTGAGGAAGAAAAACAGTGCTTTCAGCAGAAATTGCTGGACTTTTACCTGTGCCCATGATAAAAAATAAAGAAACCCGCATATTTTACCATTTTGTTAAAAAAAAATCCTGTTTCTGAAAAGTAAAAGATTTTTTAATTACTCTGTAGAGTGTAATCATTTTATTATCTATTTTGTTTTTAATAATCTGTACCAAAGTCTGCACCGAAGTATTAAAAGTTATAGAGCTTCTGTTTTAGGTACTTATATAATATTTAAAACTTGGAAAACATTTGTTTTTTTTTTTTGCTTTTAAGTAGGTACTTATAGTTCGCCTTAAGAGTCTAGCACTAGGACGTCTGAAGGGCAAGGGGGAATAACGCCATTCATTTCGAGCTTTATGCTGCCTGTCATAGGCGTGCGCGCAGCGTTTTAAAATATTATTTTTTCCTTATAAATGTAGGTTTGTAACATAGATAAATATTAGGGTATTTTCTATTGGATGTCTAATATGCAATATTGCAATTTTTTTATCCGCATTCTTTCCATAGTGCTAGACTCGTAAGGCGAACTTTATCTCAAGAGTGTTTTTAGTTTTAGTTTGGGTTGTATTCATATTTTCTGTAGTTAACTTAAGTTTAGATGATTTTATATGTCTTTTTTCACTTTTACTTTTAACAATAAAGACTCAAAAACACATGGGTATATATTGTTATTAATTTAATAATCTAATTCTGGGGTAATTGTAAACATCGTTTGAGATATTTATACTTCTAACGAAAAAAACGGATTATCGATTTGTTCACATTTTCCCTTTTGTAACCATATTAAAATGAAATGTACAGATATGGAGTGTTTACATTTACCCCCAATGTTATGGGTAAATGTAAACACCACACCTATTTTGAAGGACTTAAAATAAAAAAGAAATATTGTCTTTTTGGAAGTTTTTATATTAAACATCCAAACCAAATACATGAAATAAAAGGCTACTGATATTTATTGATTGCATCTTGAATAATAAGAGGACCAAAACATTTTTTTGGGAAATTGTAAAGAAAGCTAATAAAACCGTTTACATATACCCCAGTTGACCCTAATATGTTGATGTTTCTTACAATAATTTAAGAAATATCTGGAGTTTAGTTATTCAAAGATCCATTCACGTATTACAATGTTTTGCGACAGGTTACAGGTAAATCAACTAAACTCCAGATATTCCCAAAACTATCGTAAGAAACACTAACATATTATATAATCTGAATCAGAAAAACGAGAACTTTAAGAATTTGAAAGAAAATAAAGGGCATTCCATTTGAAAAAAGTGAACATTGACATATTATTCCACTTTTTGTTGCTCATTTGTACAATCTAATTGAAAGTTCTGGCGGTTCAGATGAAATACTACAACTTTTGTATTTACACCGTTCACCTATCACCTGTAATTACGGCTGCAGGTGGGTGTCAAAATATGGTGACTCACCCTGTACATATTACTCCAAAGCCTGGATCACTACAAACCCCTTAATAACACAAGGATATGTTCTGACCTTCTACAATACCCTATAGACAGCGATGCCATTTGCGAAGCCCAACTCCTGAAGTCCACAGGGATACTTCCCAAGACTTGCCAAACCTCGATCTTACTCGCTAGTGACTACAATGTGCAAGAACTAGACACAAACTACTGGCTCATAACATTATCATCGTCCCTTCCAATCACTATCAGATGTGATGGCAAAAACAGTGTGACAGAAACAATCAACACCAACACAGTGCTCAAGCTCCAACCAACCTGCAATGCCTTTGTAGGAATTTATGCTAGACATCTAGCGGAAAAATACAGAAACGTCACCTATAAAAGCCATCCAGTGGAAATTCCCTATATGACTGCTGGAAACACCTGCCAGTAAATCTTCATGTGGCAGAGCTGAAACCTCTTAAACTATCTAAAATCAACATCAATGATCTAAACGTGGCACAGCATAGACTAAGCCAATTTTCTGATGAACTGAATAAACTAATCCAAGAACCATTCGTATCAAGACACAGTCAATGGTTCACCTCCTTCATCATCGTACAGGGTGATCTATTATAAATGTAACCCCCTGCTAACTTTTTCATTTGACGTTTTTGACAGAAGTGTCAAATACAAAAGTTTCAAGAAATTGTCAAAAGTTTTTAACTAAGTCACTTTCAGGCATACAGGGTGCGTCAAAAAAGTGCAGCAGCGTGAAGTTATATTTTTTCAAATGGAACACCCTGTATATTGTGCGCCTATTTGTTAGTCCCCGTTAACCTGTTTTCAACGATATAGGGTTTGAT